CAATACAATGTGGTGTTTTGTAAAATGTGAAATGTCATGCTTTGTGAACTGTTGTTTTCTGAAATGTCTGTTTTGTGGAATGTTGTATTTGTATTTCCTAAAAGAAAAATATGTTCCACAAGCAAAAAAAGATTATTATTATTACTGAAAAAAACAATTAAATTAAAAATGAACTGAATTCAAAATATTAGATTAGAAGATATATTTCCACTTGTTCCACTTTCCCGGTGTTGTGGTCAATTCAAATTAAAATTCCCTGTTTTGATTTAAACTATAATTTCTAAATCCTGCCATCTTGAAAACAAACCTGCAAACTTCAAATGAACAACATAAAAGTCTCGTGAAAAATTGTGGAAAAATTATCTCAGGTTTTCATCCCACTCTCCCTATCTGGCTGTACTGTAGTAGTAGTTTCAGATCTGACGCACAGCCACTTCACACAAGCATGCCAATTGCCTGGATACCTGGTCGCTAAGGCAACAGAGTAGTGCCCACACAGATCTCCATCCTCTCATCACTTTGGTCGCTATGGGAGCTGGAAGAGACCTTTTCTGTTTCAGTAGAAAGAGGTGGATTTATGAACGAGAGAGAAGGAGCCATGAGGACAAGAGGCAGATAGAGGACTACACAAGTCAGATAAAGATATGTGGAGTCCAAAGAGTTCGGATAGCTGCTACAGTCTGCTGAGGTGATCAGCACAGAAACAACCAGACGACAACTGGGAACTGTTGCGTTTCTGTAAATATCATCACAGAGTACGGTCTAGACCTGCTCTTTTATGAAAAGCGCTCTGAGATAACTGTTGTTGTGATTTGGCGCTATATAAATAAAATTTAAATGAACGACAGACAGCTGTAAATGCTAGTGGACGTCAGCTGCAGGCTCAGTGAGTGGGATTTGCTTATTTCAGAGCGAGGCCAGTGCACAGCTGCAGGATCTGTTTCCCTCTCTCATTCTCCAGTCCCCCTGCTGCCTTTCTTTGATTCTCTCTACTTGTATTTAAAAGAACTAATTGAGCATCATGAGGCACTCGGTATGGTTTCAGCATAATGTCACCATCATATATCTGCTGGGGCACTGATAGGCTGAAACATCAAACCTACAAAACTAATGCTCTAGTCCATACTACTGTGGGTTTTGGGTCACCTTTTTTAAGCCCTCAAAATGCAACACAGCAACAAGTGACTGAGTGTTATCATTATCTGACATGTCATTTCACTAGATGACAAGATGATTTTGTTGGATCTCTGCTCTGATTAGCTACTGTAATAATTTTTGCATGTGATAGATTGAGACACCGCTTGGGCCTCACAATCATCACATGGGACTTTCATACATATATGGGACTGCCCAAAAGTACATTCCTTTCGCTAGGAGATTGTATGCACCATTTCCACCTTGACAAATGACACCTTCTGATGATCCAGCGTTTAATCTTAAATGACACCTTACAAAAAACAGAATATGGCTTACTGGTATGTTGGACGATAAAGAAGCTCATCATCCAACGTTAGAAATCTCCATAAACTTAAGCCTCCTTGGATTGCTGTTTCCCTTGTTCCAAAACAGTAGCTGTCTGTCTTGTGAGCTGACGCACCCTGTGTTGTCCGTGCTGAGCGCAGACATCAAGTTGGCTAACAGACACTTCTGTTTTCCTGCCGATCCGGCATCTCCACGCTGCCTCGGATGAAAGGAAGACGCCAACTCCCTCAAGCATATTGCCGGCGCTTTCGGCTCACGCACTCAGGGAAGACTATAGTCTGCGTGCATGCCGGCACTGTCGGCTGACACCTGACATCTCAAACAAGTGATAAAAGAACAGAGGCATAGCTGTGCTAGCACGCCAAGCTATTAGCCTCTCAGAGCTAATTGTAAACACGGAAGTAATACGGAGCGGTGCATGTACCAGGGCCGCTGAACTCAGCAGCGGACATTATGTCGAGAGGGGGACCTCACCCAGGGGAGTGGAGGCTTCACTCAGTTTGCGTGCAGAGAATCGGCGCATTGTCACCTCTTCTTCTCCCTGAAGAACGACAATCCACCTCTGGGCTGGGACTCTCTGGCCCACCCGTGGCCCCAAGGTCTCCTTTACGCCTTTCCTCCCTTCACTCTCCTCCAGCCTCTTCTCCGAAGAGTGAGGCTGATTCTGGTGGTTCCTCTTTGGCCTCACATGACATGGTTCTCAGCGATCCTGCCACTCTTAGATGGGACGCCGTGGGAACTCCTGCACAGGAGGGACCTGCTGTCGCAGGGAGGAGGGACCTGCTGTCGCAGGCAGCGGTAAGGCCTACCCTTACCGCTGGGGGGTGTTTGCCAAGTGGTGCGGAACTAGACAGGTGGATCCCTACTCTGCGAGAGCACAGGACCTCCTGTCGTTCCTGCAGACCCAGCTGGAGGCAGGGAAGTCAGCCGTAACCCTGCGAGGGATGGTGGCGGCATTTAAGGCAGTTCGTGTTGATGCTTCCACACTGAATGAGCAGGACTGACACCCTTATTTCCCGGTTTCTCAGACGCTCTCAGAGGCTGGCGGTTCGTAAGACCAGACCTTCAGTCCCTCTTTAGGATTTGGACGTGGTCCTCGGGGCTCTTCAGCAACCCCCCTTTGAGCCCCTTGGGTCAGCTGATCTGCAGTGGCTCTGCTGTTGTGCCCTGTCAGAGCGCACTCGAGCCCTCAGGCAGACGGACCAGCTCTTCATTTGCTTTGAGTCCAGGAGCCAGGGCAGGCCTCTGTCAAAATTGAGGCTGTCCCACTGGGATGTGGACGCTATTAAGCAGGCGTATGGGTTTTCGGGGGTGCCTATCCCGCCCGGGGCACGAGCGCACTCGACCCGTGGCATTGCTACCTCATGGGCCTTGTGGCGGGGAGCCTCCCTTGTGGCTATATGTGCAGCAGCAACATGGTCGTCTCAGTCCACTTTCACCAGATTCTACCATCTGAATGTGGCAGCCAACCCCTCCTTTGGTGAACGACTGCTGGGCGTATCTCGTCAGTGAATGACTAAAGCCTTGGGCTGTGGGGTCATCTCCGTGGTCAGCCTTGCGTCTTGCGGGCTGCCCTGAGTGGCCTCCACGCATTCCTTGGGGCAGTCTTGCATCTTGCCGACTCCCCAGTAGCCCCTCTGCCTCTCAGGCTTGGCCTTTGCGACTTGCGTGGCCTTGACCTGGTTGGTGTATAAATAGTGTACATTTGTAAATAGTTTGTTACTATATGGGCTTGGTTAGTCTCCTCACGGGGTGTCTTAAAGAGTTCCCCATACATATGGAATATGTAACGGTGGAGAGATAGTCTCTCCACTCAGAGAACCAAGGTTACAACGTAACCGACCGTTCTGAGACACAGGAGAAACACAGGAATTACTCAGAGTGCAAGCCATCATCAAAAACATGTTTCACAAGAACATTGGAGACAAAATGGCTGGAGGTACTCTCCCATATGTGGTTATGAATAATTGATTGGTAACCGGTGTGTAGCTCCGTCACCTAACACATACACAAAGAGAAAACATGGAACAGACCCAGAGTCACAGCACTGGCTGTGACAGTTAGCTATGGCAGCAAGAGAGTTGTGAGTATCGCTGTCTCAGCTGGTCTGCTGGCTCTTTGATCGTCTCGTCATCTCTGCAGGTTAGCTTACTCCACCTTTAATGTCCTATGTGGGGGAAGATGTGTATATGTATATTTTACATATTCTAATACACATTTAATTGTCTGTTAAGTTCTATGTGTGTAGCATGAAGGGACTACAAACTTTCATTTATCATTATACAACACAAGGTATAATGAGAAATTATACAATATAAACTATCTTGATACCTTTGAAAATTATTTAATGGCCCGTTAATTTAAGTCTTATATTATATAAATTTTCAAGCTTTTACTTTTATTTTTGGTTTCTACTGGAAACTGTTTACATGCTTTAATGTTCAAACATTCATTTTCTCATACTGTCCATTGCTTTAGCACCTCTATTCACTCTGAGCACTCCATTTTAGCTCTTGTCTCTTTAAGGCCCCCCTCCTTAAAAGCCCTTGCAAAAATTCTTTCTGCAAATTCCCACAGCCCTGGAGAGGGACAGGACCTATGGTGTATTCCATTTGACATGGAAAGTTCGAATTTCTGAGTCAGGAGAACCTCACCAACGCAAAATCCAAGATGGCTGCCCCCGGAATGAACAGTAGTGAAAGCTATAGTAACTTACTATTTATTGCACATCTGTCTTATTTGTATGTCATTAACTTCAGTCCTGTCAAACTTGCTGTATATGTAAAGACATGTTCCTATTTAAATCTGTTCTACTGCAACGCCGTCAGCAGTCATTCACAGCTCCTACCTCCGACTTTGCTGAAAAGTGTGGAGATAGGGCCTGCTATGATTAAAGTACAAACCCTTACTGGTTTTGGGAAAACTGGATCATATTTTATGGATAAAATATTTTCCAGTTTTCCCTCAGTTGTCCTCCGGCTGCTCTGCCTCAACTTTCGGTGATTTACTAAATTTGTTAGTTACTAGTTACTCAAGCCGTAAACTACTGCTAACAGTAGCTGCTGCTGTTAGCTCAGTTAGTCGTGCAGCAAGAAATCCGATGTCCTATTAGCTGATTCTGCAAGGACCAGACGCTTGGAGTGTTGGTGTTTACACCTCTAACATTTGGACCACTGGATTAGTCAGAGCCAGGTGGTAACAGCGGCTAGCTGGCCACTGAGAGCGGTGTATTCAGTATGTGTTAAGTGGGCGGGGCAGTCAACTGCGTTGAAGAAGGTCCTTTGCTAAGCAGATCCGTTCTTGACGTGAAGAAGGGAGGAAAACTCAAAATGTTTGTTTAGAGACGCATTTACAGACTGAGCAGAAGAGAATGTTTTGTCATAGTTTGGGGGTCTCTAGACACACTGGAGACACATTTATGTTGAAAAGCCATGAAAAAGTGCATTTTGTATAAAATGAGATGTTTAACTTTCAGTAGGACTAGTGGTGTTTTAATAAATGACTCTGTCTGTCTGTAGTGGAGGGGATGAAGGTGGTGGAGATTGAGAAATGTCGCAACGACATCAAGAAACTCCGTGAGGAGATGGCATCCAGAAACAACAGGTGACAGTAACAACAATTTTCTGCTCAATAACTGAATCTCAGTTGATCATTTAAGTCACTAGCATAGCAGATCGAAACTACAGGTTCAATATTGAATACATAAAAAAGCCACAATGAAACAATCGTGAAAATATAGTGTATAATATATAAATGAGCCAACAATTTTTGAAATAATAATTATTAAAACTCAACTCACTATTGTGAAATATCACTTCCTCATTCATATTCATAACAAAATGTTATGTTAAGAGACATTTTTAATTTCATAATGGGATTTCTCACAATGAAACTTTATTTATGCATATATTCACTTATTTCATAACCTCACTTTTCATGGTGTCACATTTAGCTTTTAAGTCTTAGCTTTCACCTCTGCGCATGCTACCTACCTAGCTGGCTTCCCCAATTTGTGAGCTTGGATTACTTTCTTTTTATCGTTTTTCTTTTTTTAATCCTGTCCTGCCCAGCAGCCTGGTATAGAGGAGCTGGATACTATGTTTGGTCAGACAGAATTTGCTATAACAAGAGAGTATTAATATGCTCCTTTGGCCGTTTTATTATATATTTAATTATGTATTAATTTATACCCATAACGGGGAGCCCCTGCAGCCAGGGAGTGAGACCCCTGGAGAACCAGGGACCAAATCCGAGGACCACCCAGAGGAGATAGAGCGGGTTGCCCGTTAATCGGAAGGTTGGCTGTTCAACCCCCGGCTCCTCCAGGCTGCATGTCAAGTATCCTTGGGCAAGATACTGAACCCAGCCTCTGGTAGCTGTTCTGCCAGTGTATGAATGTTTGAATGTTAGTTTCTGAATGAATGTGTGTGAATGATGAATGCAGATGTAGTGTAAAAGCGCTTTGAGCGTTCAAAAAGACTATACAAATACAGAGCATTTACATTTACCCCGGACAAGGGCCCGCCCCCCTCAGACAGCCTACCCCAAGGCACCAGGCCAAGAACCAGCCCAACAACACTGGCCATGTGCACCCGGAACCTCTGCACACCCTCGTTGTGAGAGAGCTGGCAGGGGTCAGCGGCGGGAGCCCCCGCAAGGGGGGCCTAGGGACACGCCACCCGCCCTAGACATCCAACCGGAGCACGCCCCCACATCCCTCCCACCCCCCAAACCTGTGTTCATTGTAGCAACAAAACAGAACAACAAAAGCCCCACACACAACTTTACACATTTATTTATTTTATTTCTCCCATCAACTTCTATAATGGTAACAATTAAAGTCGGAGAGAATCAGAGAGTCTGTCAGCAAGCAACACATTTTACATCATTTATCGTCATTTTTATTCAGTCACGTCAGGCTGGTCATTCCTGTGTTTTGACCAAATGGACGAAAATAAAACATAGTAAACACGTAGCATAAGGAGTCGGACAAGTCACTAAACTGAACTAAAGTCTCTGATAACTGTGAGACTTTATTAGTACCAACACTCCATCAAAAGTCTCTACACTTGTTAGAGCCGACTGACAGCTGATCCAGCTGTTTTCAGCTCCCACAGTCATTAGAAAACAGACGTTGCTTTACGTGACACTTCAGAGGAAACGTCTCATGTCTCTAGAAACATATTTGTAACTGCTAAGCCTAAGCTTAAAGCAGCTGAGGGCTATGCAGAGGGTTGCAAGTAGGCTAGTTGACGAGCTTACCGTGGCCGCTTTGTTCGGTTCAGAAAGAAGGTACCAGGAGTTCAAGTTCTGATTTTTTCTCTGTCATGAGATATATGATTTATTGTTACACAAGGTCTTCAATATCCATTACTGAACAATATGCAGTCTTCATCGACACTGTCACAAAATCAAACAAACAGCCACAGCATTGGTGGCGGTCAAAAACTAGTTGGCTTTTCCGCTCTGGCAACACCTATGTCTGATTGCACCTGCCCTCCTAAGTAGATGAGCCCCAATTAGCTATCCCAGCACCCTAGAACCAACTACAGACCATACCTGGACACAAAACACTGAAATGGCTCCTACAATATTTCCTCATTCCTTCTCTCCTTGCTTGGTTTCCTTGCATCTCTCCATGAATCCTCTGTGGGCGGGACAAAGATGCAAGGAAAAGACGCAAGTGAGGGAAACGTGGATGCAATTAAGAGACTTGAGAAGCACCCATAACTGGAGCGGGTAGGCGGAAGAGGTCATAGGGAGGCTAGGCAGGAATGGTCCTCCCCACTGAGAGGTTCCTGACTGGCCACAGCATTCAACCCCGTACCCCGCCCCTCTATTTAGCATGAAAGTGAAGAGCCCTTGCGTTAGCTAGCTCCTGTTGGCTTGAGTGACCATAGAGAAAGTCTATATGTCATTTTAATCTTCACAGAGTTGTGTGCCTTTCTCTGAGGAACATCTTTAGATTCAAAAGTGGGAAAAGTACCTCTGAATTAACCGCGTCACCTGCTAAAACTGATCTTTTCACTTTAATACTCAGGGATTAACCAAGCTCACAACCCACTCTAGCTAGTTAGCTAGCTAGGTAGATAGCATGTGCAGCCTTGATAAGCTAATTCCATAAAATGAGACCTTAACTTCAGTGTCTGTATTTAGTTACAGTAGCCTCTGGTTGGTTGATTCAGAATGACTGTCTGCTTAAGCTAACACAAGTGGTCATGTGATTGGCGTGATGTGAAAGGTGAGAATGCAGTGACTAAACCACTGTCAGGAGAGGGCACATGAAATTACAAGTAGCATTTTTTTATAAAATAATAATTAACAAAAAAACACAAATTCACTGTAGTAATTCTTTGAATTATTTCATAAAGTATTGGTTCTTTTATATATTGTACACAATTAATTCATATTATTTATTTCATGACATCTTTTATTTATTTCATATTTAACACTTGGGGTTTTGTTCTCTGAACGTTCTCTGGTTCCAGCTTCTCCAAAGTGAGTGTTGGCTACTTTTCTCTTTTTTTGTATTATTGTAAATGGAACACAGTGCCTTGGGCTCTGGGAACTTGTGATAAACATTTTGTAAAATTGTTTTGATGATTTGTAGACTACAAGATAAATCAATTAATCAAAGGATGACAGATTATTATATAATGAAAATAATTATTAGTTAAGGTAGGTATTAGGTTTTACTAGCAGTAGTATTAATGGTCATGTTAATAACTAGAAGTTGTAGAAGCAATTGAGAAAGTAAGGCTGGTGAAGATTCAATGATATAATTTTTACATTGGAGATTGAGGTAATTTTACTAACTATTTATTATATATAATTACATTTGATATATGTACAATTATTTCAGAAGTAGTATAGTATGTACCATTATTGTTGTTATTATTGCCTTTTCTCTGTTGCCTCAAGCTGTTTTTATTTCTTTTCAGTAACTTCCTGGAAGACAATAAGAAGCTGACTCCTCGCAGAGACGTACCCTCCTACCCAAAGGTAAGGTTTTCCTAGAAAGACTCTACCACGCACTGTTCACTCCACTTTGTGTTAGCCTGGTTAGTCTGGTGATGTCACCTGTACTAAGAAATACCACACCTCCATTGTGGTTCCAGGAAGCAGACAGAACAAAGGTTTGTTCTCAAACATGAGGTTCCCTGTGTATGTCAAAAACCAAACCAAATCTATTTCATTTCGCAGTGGAAATGTGACAGTTATGTTAATGTACGTAACTGGCCAATTTTGTAGATGTTGATGAGGTTTAGTCCATGTCTGTTTCCAGAAATCAATCAATCAGTGCAGTGCAGTAGGTCAATTTGAAATAATCATCTCATCTCTATCCTGAAACACTCTCTGAGAAAACGCCAGTGAATCCATAAAATGTTTGCACACAGTGACAAGTTGTAATTTAGAAATGTTGACAGCTAGTGCTTCCTTTAGTATAGCTGCCAATGATATTTGATAACTGAAAATAAATTTGAACAGTCTCTCTGTAGTGGGAAACAGCAGTCCAGCAAGAATTTAGGAATGAATTACAGTAGGTGTGTGTAGTGGTGCCCCTTAGCCAGGCAGACAGGGTTAACTGCAAGCTCTGTTGTCTGCAGTACATGCTGTCACAACAGACCATAGACGGCCTCAAAAAACCCACCTTCGACGTCTGGCTGTGGGAGGCCAATGAGGTAAGACTGACCAGCTCGCTGAACTGACTCAACCACAATTCCCCTCTCTCCTCTCCCTGTGCCCCGTCTGCCCTGCTGTCCTTTGTCTGTGTGTGTGTGTGTGTGTGTGTAGTACCACCTGTCTAAGGAGACAGTAGCAGCTCTAAGATTGCCTTCATTCGATGCTTGGCAGTGGGAACCCAATGAGGTGAGACTCATGCCCTCATTAATCTACTGATTAAGTTTTCATCAAGGATAGGCTAATAACCATTAATTATTACTGATTGATCTACTAATGATGAAGTTATTAGTAGTCTAAAGATCTTTGTAGGAAGTAGAAAATAAAACAACTGTAACTGTGAGCTGGCTGATATTACCTACACCAAACTGACAAAAAAACCTGTTAAACCCAGGTGCACGTGATTTAAAATCATTCTCATATGATTTAGCATTGCCCTTCTAAAACATTGTTGGACTCTTGATGAACAGTTTCATAAAAGGTTTTTTTTCCCCACACATTGTTTGTCAAAATGGCAACTACATTCCCCATAATGCAACTGCACCACTGACAATTGGGTTGGAGATTCTGGTGTGTTATGCTACTAGAGGCTAAGTGACCCTTAAACCCTGGCCCTCTCACCTCATCAGCCCAACTTTACCGTGTCCTCTCCTATAGTACCGCAAACGTTACTGTGAAAATTCCTGCTGTAACACAATTTTCAACCTACAGCACGCTGGCACCCAACATTATATCCATTATGTTTATATTGTGTTTTTAGCTAACATAAACTCATTATATTACAGTCTAGACCTGCTCTATGAAAAGTGCAATGAGATAACTTTTGTTATGAATTGGCACTATATAAATAAAATGGAACTGAATTTAATTAAAATATAGCAAGTGAAAAGGCTGAGGGAGACGTGCCTCTAATGACTGCCTCCATTCTGTGCCATGAAAGTGCCAAAAGATGCATTATTCAATGGAACTGCGTGAAAAATAAAAGCAGTCTGGGTGTGAAATCACTGCTTGTGTGAAAGTGTGTGTTGCACTCATGAGTAGCTGATCTGCTGTTAACAAGGCATTTCATTTATCTAGTTACAGAGTAGTTTACATGTCGGTACTGCACCACACCGGGACAAACTGACACAATATCTTTTATAGAAGGACAGGGATAACATCACGTGTTACATTCACCAAATTTACAAGAGGGGACAAACAATCATGAATCTGTCATAGACTGTGCTGGAGGACAGAGATCCAGTCTCATTGAGCATAACAAGAACGTAATAAAAATACCAGCTATAAACACAAAGGCAAGATTGGACAGTTTTATACCAGGTGTAAATGGAGTGTTTGAGAAATCGTCTCAGGTTACGTATGTAACCCTTGTTCCCCGAGAAGGGGAACGAGACACTGCGTTGGTGACGACACTATGGGAACGCCCCTGGGCGTGGCAGGGCTGAACTATGAATGAAACTACTCCAATCCTATTGGTGTTACTAGAACGGTAGTGTGTGACGGCGTAACCGGAGGGGGTATATAAGCACGCTGGCACATAGGACACATTAGCCTTTTCTATGAAGCAAGGCACTCCAGGCGGGGTGAGGTGTGGTGGACCAACGCAGTGTCTCGTTCCCCTTCTCGGGGAACAAGGGTTATATACATAACCCGAGACGTTCCCCTTCGAGGGAACTCGAACTGCGTCGGTGACGACACCATGGGAACGAGAAACCCACTTAGGCCGCACCGAAACCCCGCCTGCCCCCAGCGTGCAGAACCTGACGGCACGACTAGGAGGAGAGTGCACGGGTGCCGGGTGCAGAAGGCAGGTCCAGACTGTAAAACCGGATAAAAGTGTGAGGTGTGGCCCAGCCAGCCGCATCACACAAATCCTGGAGTGACACCCCTACGAGGAGGGCCCTAGAAGCCGCCATGCCTCAAGTAGAGTGCGCCCTTACGGCCATAGGTGAAGGCAAACTGCGCACCTGATAGGCCAGGGAAATAGTCTGAACGATCCAGTTGCTGATGGTGTGTTTAGAAACACACCAGCAACTGGTCTGCTTTCCTCCACCTCAGAGTGTAAATACTCAGTGCTCTGACAGGGCAGAGCAGATGAAGTCTCCCGTCCTCCGCCGTCACATGAGGTGGGGGGATGAAACGCCTGCAGCACCGTGGACCCTGCCGAACTGGCCGGAACCTTAGGGACATAACCTGGACAAGGGTGCAAGATGGCCCTGACCCTCCCCGGGGCAAACTCCAGGCATTGGGGAGACACCGAAAGTGCCTGGAGATCCCCCACCCTCCTCAGAGAGGTGATAGCGAGGAGAAAGGTCATCTTAAGGGTCAGGTACATGGCCTCAGCCGACTCCAGGGGTTCAAAGGGGGCCTCAGCCAGCGCTTCGAGAACCACTGCCAGGTCCCAGGTGGGAACCCTGGAACGAGTCACGGGTCTCAAATAATTGTTCGGCAACAGATTGCTCCCAACACTGGACTTTGGGACAGGAACCAAGGCTTCCTCCATACAGACAGGGAACGAAGGCATCCGCTCGTAACCCGTATCAGACGGAGCGGATTTCCCCTCGGGGAGAATCCCTTGGATTTTAGCCACCACTGCAGGGCTCTCATGTGCAGTAGTCCGGAAGGTATTATACTGGACGCTGCTGCCAGAAGACCCAACACCCTCTGAAAGTGTTTTACAGTGATGGCGCAGCCTAACTGCACTCTGGTCACTGAGGATAAAATGGACTCTATGCGTGAGACAGGTGGGCCCGCATCGTCGTTGAGTCCCACACCACCCCTAGGAACGCAGTCCGTTGGTGAGCCGCAGCCCCTAACGCTGAAGGTGGGCGAGGACGACATTTCGATGCCGAACCGCTAGCTCTCGAGACTGGGCCAGGACGCCACATATGGGCCAGGTATGCGGATGCCCTGGAGCCTCAATGGAGCCAGAGCTGCATCCATGCATTTGGTGAACGTGCGGGGAGATAGTGCTAGGCCGAACGGAAGAACCCGATACTGGTAAGCCGTGCCCACGAGGCGAACCTCAGGAACTTCCTGTGAGAGGGACGGATGGAGATGTGGAAATAAGCGTCTTGCAGATCTATTGTGACAAACCAATCCTCGGATTGGATGTGACTGATGATGGCTGGGATGGTAAGCATCCTGAACCTGAATCTCCTCAGAGATTGGTTCAGGGACCACAAATTCAAAATCGGACGCAATCCTCCGTCCTTCTTGGGGACCAGGAAGTATCGGCTGTAAAAGCCGGCTTCTCTGACTGGTAGGGAAATTAATTCTATGGCCCCTTTCTTCAGCAGAGAGCAGACTTCCCAACACCTGGCTCTGTTCTGTGTGTACTGTAGTCCCGACCATCCCGCAGAATCTGGGGGGGCGAACCCGGAACTGCAGCCTGTAGCCATCTACTACTGTGCGGAGGACCCACGGGGAAATGTTTGCGAGGCTTCGCCAAGCTTCCGCGAACTTCGCCAAGGGGACCATCGGGGCTGGTGGCCGGTGTCCCGCGGGAATCCCCGGTGGCGCCCTGAAGCGGAGGACCGCCAGGGAAGGCTCGCCGGTGAACCACGGTTTGTGAGCCCAGTCGTGTTCTGGCTGCCGCCCCTCAGGGCAGACAGATCGGCGAGGGCCTGCCGGAGGCTAGCGTGTCCCGAGCGCTGAAGTGGTGGGAGAAGGGGGAGGAGGCGGGGGGGTGGGTCCCCCTACTCGAGGTCTCAGGACCTCTTCCCCCGGGCCCGCCGAGACTGAATGACGGTCCTCAGATCCGTGTTCCCGGGGGGCTGTGGGCGAGAGCGCCATCTTGCGTCCCAGGTTGGTTGAGGGGGATCCCGCGAAGCGACGCTCTGCTTCTGGCTGTGGGGGTAGGTGCTGGATGAAGGCTGCGTCTGCCTTTCCTGAGCCGTCGCGGTCCTGGAGTCTGACCAGCGGGGGAGATATCACTCAAATGCCTCTCCCTGAGTTTTGGCGTGCTGGAACCTGTTGACGACAGCATCCACTGCTTCGCCAAACAGGCCAGAAGGCGAGAAGCCCTCTCCTTCCCCTGGATGCCTGATAGGTTGAGCCACAGATGGCGCTCCGTAGCCACCAAAGCCGCCATGGATCGGCCGATGGAACGGGCCGTTTCCTTGGTCACACGGAGAGCCAAGTCCGTCGCTCTACGGAGCTCCGTCAGCGCATCCGACCATCCTCTAGGAACAGAGCCGCTCGAGATCTTAGCACCCTCAGGGGCATGGCCTCGCAATGGTCGCAGGCAGCCCTCTCGAGAGCCACCTGAGCATGCGACAGGCATGAGACGCACATCCCATGGGTATCACCTTCTGTGATGAAACGCTCACAAGGGAAAACACACTGTCGGAATCGCTTTGACATGATCTGCTGCTTCGTCTCGATGTCAGGTAGGAAAATGGAGCTTCCAAACATAGCCAGAGTGCCTGCTGAATAGAAAGAAGCTAATGTGTCCTTTGTGCCGGCGTGCTTATATACCCCCTCCGGTTACGCCGTCCCACACTACCGTTCTAGTAACACCAATAGGATTGGAGTAGTTTCATTCATAGTTCAGCCCTGCCACGCCCAGGGGCGTTCCCATAGTTAGTCACCGAAGCAGTTCGAGTTCACTCGAAGGGGAACTGTGATGTAGAGGGGATTTAGCACTGCTAAAGGGAGGTCCATTAAGGTTGAGGTGTGAGATTAGTATTTCGAAAAGAAAAAACAAAATACTAAGGCTGTTAGCTGTTGGCAAGACAAAAAATAAAAACCTTACTCTAACTCATCATATGTCCATCTTGTACTTGTATCACTGTATAGAGACATAGCACAGACATGTTCCTGTGTTCTTCCAGATGCTGAGCTGTCTGGAACATATGTACCATGACCTGGGCTTGGTCAAAGACTTCAACATCAACCCCATTACACTCAAGAGATGGCTGGTGAGACGTGGACCCAATACCTTCAGCAAATTCAAATAGTTTTACTGAAACCAGCCAACAACCTCCCATGGTCTGCCACTTTTCAGACCAGAACAATCTCTCAAAAAACTTTAATGGCCAAAAGCTGATAATACATTTTCACTCTTTTTGTTTGATAAATTTTTGGGATTTATATGGTAAGATACAAGCATGTCTCAAACCTCCTGTCTGTCTTTTTTTCTCGTTATGTAGCTTTGTATTCATGACAACTACAAGAATAACCCCTTCCACAACTTCCGCCACTGTTTCTGTGTCACCCAGATGATGTACAGCATGATCTGCCTCTGCAGCCTACAGGTAACCGACTTCTTAGAGACCTGAGACTTAACTCAACAAGAACTTGACTTGACACTTGAAAGCAAAGTTTCAATTAAATTTTATTTATATAGCACCAAATCATATTTGGGGGGGAGGGGCATTAAGGGGAGAGAGGGATGGGGCAGGGGAGCTGCCTACACAAAATACACACAGAGGTACAGACAGTAAAGGTAATGTTGCTATAGCCTGAATGAATAATGGTACAGATATTTACAGTAATGTTAATGATTATAATAACAATAGTTGTAGCAGAGGGTGTCGAGCAGGAACACGGGGGCAGCAGGGGACCCGCAGTCACAGATCCAGACTCCACAGCTCCAGAGCCAGAAACACCTGCAGGAAGTGATAGGAGGAGAGAGGAGAGGGACGAGAAAGCACAAGACTACCAGAAAGGGGAGAAGTTGTGTTAGTAACATGCAATAATGGGAAGAGGTTGCAGCCAGAGTTTCATATTAAAAGGAGTTGTGATTATGGAGATGTTTGTCTAAGGGAGTTTCATTTGATATTGATTAACAGCGCCAACTAGATGCCGATTGACACGAAATTTCATACAGACCCTTGGGAAGAAATGCCACATAAGATCCCCAAGGTTGATGTAAGATACAACATCACTTCCTGTTTTTTGTGTTCGACGTAAACGATTGTTATGTTATTTGCACATTTTTTTGCGGATCAAAACTTCTATCAGCTTGGTCCAGAGATTGTCAGTGCCAAGTTTGGTGCCAATCGGACCCCTAATAACAATAGGACTAGTAACAATAATTGTAGCAGAGGGTGTCGAGCAGGAACACGGGGGCAGTAGGTGTCTGGCAACCACAGATCCAGACTCCACAGCTCCAGAGCTAGAAACACCTGCAGGAAGTGATAGGAGGAGAGAGGAGAGGGACGAGAAAGCACAAGACTAACACAGCACTACACGGCCGACATGTTGAAATGTCATGACATTTAAATTTTTTCTTTTTGGTACATTTCTCAGATCAGAACTGAAATTCAAAAAAGCAATTTCTCATTCTTTTGAACAAATTGCAAATGTTGGACACATTTATGCAAATGAACACCTTGTCATAATCTGTCAAGCATATTTTGTACACGTCAATTAGATTTTTTTATTTGTAAATGTGTCCTGAATTGATGAAGTCGTCTGTTATGATGTGGATAAGAATGAGGCCTGACAGACAACATCAAGTGTGGTCTGTTGACTGTAAAACAGTCTTGTCTTTTAAAAAAATAAAACTCACACACACACTGTATGTGGCAATTTGAGGGTGGAAGATGGGATCACACACACACACACACACACACACACACACACACACACAGACAGTAGTGCTGTGCCATTAGTGCACATATGGATATCACCTTTTATAAAATACTTAATTGAAGCATTAATTAAGATAAATGTGTGTTTATAGGTGCTGGTCATATTAGAATATCATCAAAAAGTTGATGAACACTTGAAATATATCAGTGTGTGGAATGAATGTATACATTATACAAGTTTCACTTTTTGAATGGAATTACTGAAATAAATCATCTTTTTGATGATATTCTAATTATATGACCAGCACCTGTATATAAATGTATGTTTATATGTGTGTGTTTTTAGGAGAAGTTCACTCAGGTCGACATTTTGATTCTCATGACAGCTGCTGTGTGTCATGATCTTGATCACCCCGGATTCAACAACACGTAAGGCAAATGGGCACACACACACACACACACACACACTTGTGTCTGCCTCTTTCTCACCACTCGCCCTTCTCGGTTCTTCCTCCCATTGCCATCTCAATGTTCTCATTCTGTCCCTCTGTATCTTTCAGGTACCAAATTAACGCCAGAACAGAGCTAGCGGTTCGCTACAACGACATCTCTCCTCTGGAGAACCACCACTGTGCTGTTGCCTTCCAGATCTTCTCTCAGCCCGACTGCAACATCTTCTCCAACTTTGACCCAGAGGCCTTTAAACAGATAAGACAGGTAGGGCTGTGTGTGTGTGTGTGTTGCACTGTACCATGTCTGTATTTATCAGTGTCAGATAGGGCTTTCCTGTTTTACAGGAGTTTTGTCTGATCAAATTTTTACTGTATATTGTGCTGAAACATTCTGAACAGAGAGAAGTTTGGACTTTTTCTGTTTTTGCAGACTTCTATCCAGGGGGGTGGTGGTCAATATTTCTTGAATGACATGATCTTTGTCTTCTGTCTTCTCACCTGAGGGTGGAGGAAAAGAGGTGGGGTGACAGGAAACCCACTGACCATAGGCGGAAATCCAGGGGGGTACAGGGGGGTCCCCCCCTTAAAAACCAACCATAAACACCGCTGCACAAATCTGTCCAACACAGCGCTGTCAATGTCAGAGACCCATCTTCAAAACTGTTATTAGCGAGCATGTAAGAAGCCTAGCTAATAAGGATAGCTATGTTAACTTTGGAAAAAAGCTGTATAACCATAGGCGGAAATCCCCGGGGGGGACAGGGGGGTCAAGTCCCCCCCCTATCTGAGGGGGGTCCCCCCCTTAAAAACCATCAAATAATATAATGATATATACTTAGAATAATTGTGTAAATAGTAAAACAATACAAACGCAAGCAGGGCAATTAAAGTGCATTTTAAGCTTAGAAAAAGTTCGAGTCCCCCCTCCTTTGACAGTGGTTTAATCCACTGCTCAGTAGTTGTGGAGCTCCAGTAATGTTAAGCAGGCTGGCAGCGCTGTTTTATTCACGTGTGTGCACAGACAGTTTTTATTTTCGTGTGTGCACAGACAGTAACCTCGTGTCACAGCCACACACACAGGCTAAAACATGTCTTAGGTGTGTGGAAGTTATTCACGAGAGTGAAGAAGATGCAACGCTCACTGCCTATCTGCAGAGAAACACACAGAAAGAGACGCGGTGGACATTGTAAAGTAGGGAGCAGGTAAAGCAACAGTGAACACACAGCTGTTGGTGACGATGTCATTCATATCATGGTGGGCTCTATCGGTAATTAACAACAAGCCTCCTCCACACACGGCTCATCTGCTGCTGTGAAAACGAAATTGCGGGTGAAAATGAAGAAACAGGAGTTCTTTTAAACAACTGCTGAAAAATAAAGTCAGAGCAGACAGAGAGAGACGACAGGTGTGTGCTTGTGTGTCTGATGGGAAAAGCAAGGTGAGCAGATTACTGTAGTTTGTGATTAAACACAAACATAAATTGGAGAATTAGGTAGAATTAAAATGGTGTGCAATTTATTTTCAGCTCCTTCCAGTGAAAATGCTAATGTTATTTTAAAATCATTGTTTCATTATGACCATACAAATGAGACCAGCAATGAGAATAGCCAACATTTCTACTGGTGCTGATGGGGACCCTAATAAAAATAGATGTTTCCAATAAATAGTTACAAAAATGTTTGTGTATGCTGTCAGTTATAGATCTTAGAAAGAAAGAAAATCGGAATCGGAACCAAAATTAGAATCGGCAGGCACCTTTTAAAAAATCAGTAACTGGAATCAGCCAGGAAAATAATCTGTGCATCTCTTATTACAGCGATAATCCTGTGTGTGAACCGATATTAGGCTGATACCGTATCTACCATTGTGTAGGGTTTTTGCGCATTATATATATATATATAAAAAAACAATATTCCCCCTCTCAGCCCTTGCGGGGTGGTATGTGTCATCCTCAAGCTCCGGTCCTCTACCAGAGGCCTGGGAGTTTGAGGGTTCTGCGCAGTATTTTAGCTGTTCCTAGGACTGCACTCTTCTGGAGACCTCTGATGTTTTACCTGGAATCTGCTGTAGGCACTTTCCCAGTTTGGGGGTCACAGCCCCCAGTGCTCCACTGGCACCACTGTTGCTCTTACTTTCCACAACTTTTCTAGCTCCTCTTTCAGCCCTTGGTATTTCTCAAGCTTCTCGTGTTCCTTCTTCTTGATGTTGCTGTCGCTTGGGATTGCCACATCTATCACTACTGCCTTCTTCTGCTGTTTGTCGATCAACACAATGTCTGGTTGGTTGGCCATCACCAGTTTATCAGTCTGGATCTTGAAGTCCCACAGGATCTTAGCTCGGTCATTCTCAACTACCTTAGAAGGTGTCTTCCATTTTGACCTTGGGACTTCCAGCCCATACTCATGGCAGATGTTCCTGTATACTATGCCAGCTACCTGGTTATGGCGTTCTATGTACGCTGTTCCTGCCTGCATTTTACAACCCGCTGTTATGTGCTGTACTGTCTAAGGGGCATCCTTGCAAAGTCTGCACCTGGGGTCCTGCCTGGTGTGGTAGACCCCAGCCTCTATTGATCTTGTACTGAGTGCCTGTTCTTGTGCCGCCATGATTAGTGCTTCTGTGCTGTCCTTCATGAGTCCAGCCTTTTCCAGCCACTGGTAGGATTTCTTGATATCAGCCACTTATTCTATTTGTCTGTGGTACATGCCGTGCAGCGGCTTGTCCCTCCATAAATGTTCTTCATCTTCCTTGTCCTCACCCTCGGGTTTCTGCTACCTGAGGTACTCACTAAGCCCTTCATCTTTGGGGACCATCTTCCTGATGTACTCTTGGATCTTTGTTGTTTCATCCTGGACAGTGGTCTTGACACTCACTAGCCTCAGCCTCCCTCGCTACGCTCGGTGTACAGGGTGCTGGATTTGGGGTGAAACTGTCCGTCTTGATGTCAGTAGCCTCTATCTTCTCCTTCGGCCAGTTTATTATACCAGCGGGGTATCTGATGACTGTATCTGTATCTGTATGTGTTGATGGCTCGGATCGTGTTTTTCCCATTCAGCTGACTTTTCAGGACCTGCCTTACTCTCTGTAGGTATTTGGCTGCGGTGGATTTCCTTGCTGCCTCCTCATGGTTTCCGTTAGCCTGCAGCACCCCAAGGTATTTGTAACTGTCCTGAACATCTGCAATGTGACCGTCTGGTAGTTCAGTCCCCTTGGTTCTGATCATCTTCCCTCTTTTTGATACCATGCGACCACACTTGTCCAGTCCGAACGACATTCCAATGTCGTTGCTGTAGATCCTGGTAGTGTGGATCAGTGAGTCGATGTCTCGCTCATTTCTGGCATACAGCTTGACGTCATCCATGTAGAGGAGCTGACTGATGGTTGTTCCACTTCAGAACCAGTATCCGTCGCCAGTCTTTGTGATAATCTGGCTGAGGGGGTTGACAGGTATATGCCGCACCTGATGGTGACTTGTGCAATTGGCTTTGAGTTGGCTTCCACACTTGTTTTCCACAGCCCCATTGAGTTCTTGATGAAGGCTATTAGTGTCTTGTTGATCTTGTACATTTCCAAGCATTCCAGTATCCATGTATGTGGCAGTGAGTCGTAGGCTTTCTTGTAATCAATCCAGGCGGTGCACAGATTGGTCTGCCAGGTCTTGCAGTCTCGAGTGACTGCTCTATCAACCAGTAGCTGGTGCTTGGCTCCCCTGGTATTACTACCAATATCCTTCTGTGCCCTGTCCATGTATTGAGCCATGTGCCTACTAATCGTAGCTGCTATTATGCCTGACAGGATCTTCCATGTTGTGCAGAGGCAGGTTATTGGCTTGTTAGTTGGATGGGATTGTTACATTCTTGGGGTCCTTCATGATCAGGACTGTCCGTCCTTGGGTTAACCATTCTGGGTGGGTCCCATCCATCAGCAGTTGGTTCATTTGTGCTGCCAGGCGTTCATGGAGTGCGGTTAGTTTCTTCAGCCAGTAGGTATGGATCATGTCAGGGCCTGGTGCTGTCAAGCCCTTCATACCTACCACTCTTTCTTGGATGTCTGCCGTTGTAATGGTTACTGGATCTTGTTCTGGGAGATTGCTGTGATGTGTACTTAGACCCACTAGCCACTGAGCATTGGTCTTGTGGGATGCCTCTTTCTCCCATATGTTCTTTCAGTACTGTTCAGTCTCAGCCCTGGGTGGATCTGATGTTGTGTTATTACCAGTGAGAGTACACTTTGGATGGTTCGGTGGAGAACATCCGGTTTATTCTCCTGGCTTCTGCTACTCCCTTGTATATCTTTAGGCAGTCTCGAGAGCCTCAGGTATCAACAGCTTGTTGTATTTCTTAGGTAGCCCTTTCCTTGCACCTTTCTGTAGCTCTGAGAGCTGACTAACATCTCTTTGTGTTGCCTTGATCTTGACCTCTAGCCTTCTCCTCCATGGGGCGTAATGCTCTTTGTGGCTTGTGGTGTTCATCTTATAGCCAAGCATATCTAGGATCACTGCTGCTGTGCATCAGCTCATTGGTCTCGGTTATGGCTTTAGTAGGGATAGTATGTAGTGCTCCATTCACATCTTCTAGCAGACTTTCAGAGGGCACTAACCTTGGCAATCTCGGTCGTTGTACTTGGGGGTCCAGCTTGGTTATGATCTTCAAACGTAGGTCAGTCGCCCTTATGTTGAGTGATTCTGTGCCCTAAGGGCTTGTTGTTATTGGGGATTGGGACCCAATCTCTGAGTGTGGGGATAATGATGACATCTCCCCGCTGACCTGTCGTCCTGGCTCCCCCTTGCCATAGCATATTTGTTGTACCTCATCAATCTCTAGTTGTGATAGGATCTGCCATTTGCAGATGTTAGAACACTGAGCTAGAAGTTGTTTCTTTGTCAGTGCTGATGATGGGTTTCGAAACATTCATATATCCCATAGTCTCTGCATATAACCCCTCTCACTGGGATTGCTTGTATAGTAGCATTGCACCAGATGCATATTTTCCGCTCTAGTCCATGAATGTCTTGTTCCAGTAGTCCATTTGTCATAAGGGCGGTTCCATAGCACCTGACACGGACCTTGTTAACCCGGGCGACGTCCGAGCCGGTATGGCTCTTGTATTTGCGGTTTCATTCATGCCTGAGCTATATATATAAAACAAACACACACACACACACACACACACACACACACACTTCTCTCTGTGTACTATAAAAATACTATTTTGGCTGTATTATTTGTGTCCCCTTGAAAAATTGCTCCTGAGAAATTTTATGTTTATTGCCCCCCCTACTGTTAGATGAAATTTACACCCATGCCACTGACACACATGCACTCTCTGAGAACTGGCATTCCAACTTACATTTAATCGTATTGCAAGTTATCAATTTTCTAAGTAGACATAACATGTACACATTTACCAGTTTTACTTCATTATTTATTCAAAGAGTCTAAACACTGGGCATATTTTCCAGATGAAATATATGACAAAAATCATGAATTAGATATTTGGGTACTTTCGTAACTATTAACACCTAAAAGAAATCAGATATGTGTGATTTGTGATCTTGGGCTATATAACTAAACTTTATTTGACAACTAATCTCTCTTATGTTTCACTGGCTCATACATGCCATGCTGCAAAATATTTTTCAAACTCAAGTTCTAAGGAAAAGGTAACCACCACTACTGCAGTGTCCACACTGTTAATAGGAAAACATGTCCTTTGTATGTGTGTATTAATGAGCTGTACTGTTTTTCAGGGAGCCATCACACTGATCCTGGCCACAGACATGGCAAGACACGGTGAGATCCTGGACTCCTTCAAGCAAAAAGTCGACAATTTTGACTACACAGATGAGGAGCACGTCACCTGTGTAAGAACACTTTCATTCACAAACAAATTCAAATATAAATATAAATTAAAGCTGCAAGCAGCGTTGGGCGGGCCCTCGCACGTGTAGCGTGTCGAGGTGTGAGGTGCCGTGTTGCAGATTCTGGAGTATCCCTATGAGTATGGGTGAATGTACCTTGTTTAAAGTGGAGCGTGGAACTTTGCCGCAACACCACCCCCACGCCATTAACTACAAACTCACAAGTTTTACAACATGGCTTCATCAATGTGTTAAGAGCTTTCTGGGACAGTTCTGAAGTTGATGTGTCCAACCTGCTAGGAGTAGTACATTACAGCGTAAAACGTGTCATTTCCTGTTGCCAGCAGGCGGCGCTGTGACTACGGGTGAATTTTGGCTTGTAGATGGGTTCAGGGCAGGAAGTTTGGTACAGATGTGAGCATTTAGACTTAAGTTATTGCAAATTCCTGTTTTATGGCGAATCATTAATTGTCGACGCCACACCACGGGAACACCGTTCCATGAAAACTCACCGTTTGTACAACTTTTAATCGTCAAGGGGTTTAGAGTGCACAGCACAAATCTGAAATCGGTCGGACTAAATCCCGAGGAGGAGTTTGTTAAAATACGGAGTGTGTAAATTACCAAAAATGAGCATTAATACCCAAAATATAACTCATTTAAGGATATTTTAAAAGAAATGCAAAGCCATGGAAAGGAGGTGATTGTTTTAGGGGATTTTAATGTAAACTGGACAGATAAGAAAAGTAGGAAAAAACTGAATAAACTCGAATAAGTAAAACTCAAATTGATCTTGTATTTTCCGAAAAACCAGAGAGAATTATCAAATCTTTTAATTTTGTTACAGAAATTTCTGATCACAATCTAGTACTCATTGCGAGGAAGTTAAGTAAGAAAAGGTTTATTTTAAGAAAACACAAGACTTTAGGATACCAAATAAAGACTTGTCCAAATTTTATACAGAATTGAAAAACTCAGATTGGGATAGGTTAACTAGCATTGAAGAAACAAATGTATTTTGCAAGGCTTTTATATATACTGTCAACAATGTTAAGGATACATTTAGTCAGAAAATAGCTAATAATATAACATATAACATATACACATAATAACAAATATAAACCTACCTTGGTTGACAGAACATATTTGGAATTTGATGAAGAAAAGAGACCATCTACTGAAAAAGGGATTAAAATCTGGCATTGATACTGATACTGGCCTGTCTCTTTAAAGACTACTGTAAAAAAAGTAGTAAATGAACTTAGGAAGGCGAAAGCAAATTTCTTTATTGACCTCATTAAACAGGCCTAAGGAAATAATAACTTACTCTGGAAATACATTAATAACCTCTCTCGAAAGGAAAATAAAAGTATTAAGTCGTCTTAAGTCTTAAGTCAAAGACTCTGTTCATGCTTTAGCTAAACAATTTGGGATTAGGAAAATCAATATCATACTACCAGATACTACCTACCCTGTTTTTTCTTTAACAGAGGTCTGTGAACAAGAAGTTATGAATGTTTTAAAAGGTTGAAAGTACTCAACAGCTCAGGATATATATGGGATGGATTCCTGCTTGATCAAGAGGAATGCCATAACTTTGTGTTCCTCAGTTACACAGCTGATAACTAACTCTTTTGGACAAACTGTGTTCCCTGAGAGTTAAAAGCTGCAGTTATCACTCCAATTTTCAAGGGGGGAGACCATTCTGAAATTGCCAACCACAGACCAGTTAGTATCCTTCCAATAACATCTAAGGTAATTGAAAAAGTTGTGACCAAACAGCTAATAAACCATCTGAACTTGGGTCACCATTCTTTGAACGAGGAGCCATCTTTATAGATTTAAAAAAGTCATTTGATACAGTCAATCATAATGTTCTGTTATCTAAATTATCAACTCATAATGTCTCAGCAAATGCTATTGAATGGATAGCTTCATATTTGCGTAATAAACAACAATGTACAAGAATTAAAGGAACAACCTCTTCATTCTTAGATTGTCTTACTGGTGATCCGTAAGGTTCGGTTATAGGCCCTCTCTTATTCAGTATCTATATAAATGATCTACCATCCGTCATTTAGGTGTGATTATTGAGAGCGGTCTAACCTTCAAAAAACATATTACAAAAATTGCAAGTAACAGTAAAGTATAATCTGGCTCATTTCAGATTTATAAGAAATCAAATGAGTACAGATGCAGCAAAACTGTACATGTATACTGTATACATGGATACTGTCACATTTTTCATTTTCATATTGTAGCACAACCTGGTCTCAAACAAGTAGTACATTAATGCAACCACTTCAGAATCTGTATAAACAAGCATTGAAAGTCATGGATAAAAAACCTAATTCTCATCATTATTGTAATATAGTCAAAAAGAATAACCTGTTGACTTTTGAAAACTTCCTGTTTATGTCCAATGTTGGGTTAGTATATAAGATCATTCATGACTTAGCACCACAACCTCTTAAACAGTACGTAACAATAAGCAGACCAGGCTCAAGGTTAACAAGAGCTTCCCCTAGAGTTGTGTTAAGTTTCGTTCTACGACATTTGGACAAAACTGCTTTTCAGTAAAGGCAGCTAGGATTTGGAATTCCTTACCTCTGAGTGTCAGAGAATGCAGTACATTCAAAAATTCAAATCTGATCAAAAATCAGGTATGTAGTCATTGAGCTATGAGACGCTGAATGTGGTCAGTATGTTTTTTACTGTGTATATGATAAAATTCTTGTAATGACAGTTTGTTTAGTTTTGTATTTGGATTGTTGATGTTGTGCTTATTATGGTTTTGGGAGGTTTGGTACATTTGAGTCTGTTTTTAATTTGTTAGATTTGGCTTATTTGAATTGGTTGGCATTTATCTATATATCTATATACATATATATATGGTTTGGTTTTGGGTTTTTTTATTTTTATTTTTTGTAATATTTTCCCATGCTATTGGCACCTGCCCAGGGACTGCAGATGGGAATTAGCTTTCAGTTAAATCTGGTGTAATACATATATCGTGCATTGTCCCTGTTAAATAAATAAATGGCTGACTTCCTGTTGGGTTTAGGAAATGGCTCCAGAAGGCTTTTTTGTATGTCTGGACATGATACATGTACCACCGAAATTTCGTACACGTAGTGGAACTGTGCCGCGGGGGCTACTTCGTTAAAGGTCACTTCCTGTTGCCAGCAGGTGGCGCAATGGCTTTGAGTGAATGTTAGCATGAGGATGTGTTCAGGGCAGGACTCTTACTATACATATGAAATTTGGTGCAGTTGTGAGCATGTATAAAGAAGTAATTACAACTTCCTGTTTCATGGCGAATCATCAATTTTTAACAGCACGCCACAGGCAAACTGGTCGACTGGTATAACCGTTTGTACAACTTTTAATCATCAATGGGTGTAGAGTGCACAGCGAAAATTTTAAGTCGATCAGACTAATTCCCTAGGAGGGGTTCGTTAGTAAGTACAGTATGTAAATCGCCAAAAATTACCATTAAATCCAAAAGGGCTGACTTCCTGTTGGGTTTAGGTAATGATGCCAAGAGGCTTTTTTTTGTACATGTGACATGATACATGTACCACAAAACCAAATTTCTTGCACGTAGGTGAAACTTAGTCCGGGGCGCTGTAGGGGGCGCTAGCGAGCCATTTTGCCATGCTCATGAGCAAAACCCATAAAATACGAAATTTTTCACCACTCCTGAATTTTGTGCAAACTTTGGTGAGTTTTCGAGTGTGTTTAGCCCCCCAAAATTGAGGTTACTTTGCAGCAAAAAGAAAGAAAAAATCCCTTCAGTTTCAATAGGGACCTCGCACAGTATTACATTTGATACTTAAATAAGCAGATCACAGATGTCACACACACACATTGTATATTTACAGGAATAAAATCATTGTCAAAGTTAATTATGCATGCAGTTTTTAGCCATCATTAGAGTCAGATTAGCCTTGTAGGAGGATGTAATTCAAAGTAAATGTAGCAGCAAAGTCATTCATTAAATCTCAGCATCCCATCTCATTGTACCACTGTATGCTGTGCACTTTTGCATTCATTGGTCATAATAACCTTCGTGGTGACCTTTGGCCTCGGACCCTGTGCTCTGTGCAGCTGAAGATGGTGCTTATCAAATGCTGCGACATCTCCAACGAGGTGCGGCCCATGGAGGTGGCTGAGCCCTGGGTTGACTGCCTACTGGAGGAGTACTTCATGCAGGTGGGTCCACCAAAGTCCTGTTAGCAACGACAACACTATCTGATGTTTGATATATGATAAAAGATCAATATAAAATGGGCATGACCTCGCACATGAAGTTGCATAATTCACCTATAGCTCCATTCATTTCAGTGAATGCGCAAAGAGTCAGCAGAAGACCATTTCTCCCTCATGTTACTGAAAATCATGTTGATTGTAGTTTGCTGTTCTCTGTCTGTCCATGCTGCTCAGAGTGACAGGGAGAAGGCTGAGGGGCTTCCTGTGGCTCCGTTCATGGATAGAGAAAAGGTCACCAAGCCGACTGCTCAGATCGGCTTCATTAAGTTCGTCCTCATCCCCATGTTTGAGACTGTGATGAAGGTGAATATGCAGGACAGTGGTGATGATGAAGGTCAAAGTAAGAGTTGCAAAGTGGGGGGTGCCATTGTTTCTGGAAGTATAAAGTTGCATTTGAATAAGTTCTTTGGTTGATATATTTAGTGTTAATCAGCTCAGCAGCATGTAAGTCTTGTGGACACTCTTGTGACATGGTCTGGCAATCAGTGATCAATAAATTCACCTTTGTTACTGAGAAATCTAAATACTGCAATACCCATGAACCTCAGCTGCAATCGCTATGGAAAAGAATCAGAGCTTGTGCAAAGTCAGAATGCTTTGTTTGTGCAGTTGGGACCAAAGTGTCACTATTGCCAAATTGATCAAACATCCACCTAGAATCTCCTGGGGACTCATGTATAAAAGACTGCGCAGCTTTCATACTGAAAGATGGCATACTCAGAATTTGAAAAGTACGTACGCACAGAAATATCCACATGTATAAAACCAGGCGTACACCTGGTCCTGCACACCTTTCCTTTATACATCCCAAGCACCGTAAAAGTGAGCGCACATGCACGATCCACATACCCAGCATTGGCTCTTCCCATAAATTACTATTCAAATGACCAGAAATACGCCAATCCTGCTGCAAAACAGTGAAAAAGAGAAACTACACTGAGTGCCAGATCAAGGTGCTGATCAGTGAAATGGAGGCGAGAAGAAATATTTTATTTGATGATTTGTACTCTTGAATCAGCAACAAGCACAAAACAACAGTGGCAGAGGGTCACAATAACAGTCAATGCTCAGACTTATAATGGCTGAAATGAAGAAGACAAGGTCTGACATAAAGTAGATGTCAAAAAAGACGAAAGTTTTTCTGATACAGAAATCGAGGAATTTGTGGGGTGGAAGTTAGGAAAGTAGCCTACATATTGTTTGATGCAGCTTGTTCACAAACAAAAAAAATTCAGAGAGTTTAATAGATTTATATTATTCTAAACAAAGACTTTAGGTAGAAAGGTAACCGAAAAGGTAATTGATCACATCTGCTGTCGGCTCATTCTCACTGCCAGAAACAGTGGTTATAGCCTACTTGTATTTGTACCGGGACGGCACGGTTCTGTCTGGTTGGTCTGTCTAATGCTGGACCCAGTTCAGCACAAAGATCCAAGAGCACGACTCTAGGGATTTGGAAAAGTATTAGCCAGTTATCATCACGGGCCAGGAAATAGTAATTTCTCTAATCCTTCCGTTCGCACGGTCCTCTGCAGTGCCATTGCACAGCCATGCAGCATTATTCACAAGTCTTAAGCAGTATTAATATATTTACAGCAATCATACAGAGAAGGCTTCACACCTCACCAAAATGATTGCTTCAGTCAGTGGTCTCCCCCACCCTGGGAGATCATTTGAAATTGGAGGATCTTTTTATCTCGGTTTTGTTGTTTGGTCTGCATCATGAGGACTGATAAGGATGGAGTGTAAAGACAATAATACCCATGAGACAATAATACAAAAAACAATACAAGATAAAAGCATGAAAACATTGAAAAGACTAAAATACAGATAAATATAAAATTAGTAAAATACAATAAAATAAAAGGGATAAAATAAAGTCAAATAAGATCGGGAAAGGCTCTCCTATAAAAGTATGTTTTAAGAAGGGACTTAAAAGAGTTCACTGACTCAGCCGACCTGATTTCCTCGGGCAGGCTGTTCCAGAGCCTCGGGGCCCTGACAGCAAACGCTCTGTCCCCTTTAGTTTTCAGTCGAGACTCTGGAACAGACAGCAGACCTCTGCCCGAGGATCTCAAGGTACGTGCTGGTGCGTATGGGACTAAAAGGTCAGAAATATAACAAGGCGAGAGGCCATGAAGAGCTTTAAAAGTGATCAATAGAATTTTAAAGTCAATTCTAAAACATACTGGGAGCCAGTGTAATGAAGCTAAAATAGGAGTAATGTGGTCATATTTCTTTGTTCTGGTTAAAAGCCTAGCAGCTGAGTTCTGGACAGTTTGGAGTCCATCAATAGATTTTTGGGTTAAACAGGTGAAAAGGCTGTTGCAATAATCCAGGCGTAATGAGATGAAGGCGTGTAAAATGGTCTCGGTGTCCTTAAAAGTTAACATAGATCGAATTTTTGCTATATTTCTAAGTTGATAAAAACATGATTGAACAAGCTTTGTGGTGTGCTGCTCGAAATTTAAATTACTATCAAACCAAACACCAAGGTTCTTTGCCACAGGCTTAATGTGATTTACTAGGGAACCAGCAGATGGCAGTATTTGTTTTGCCATCTGCTGGGACCCGATGACCAGGATTTCTGTTTTGTCTGAGTTCAGCTGGAAGAAATGATTTGACATCCATTTTTTAACTTCACAAAGGCAGTTGTTAAGTGAACTCAGCATTCCAGGGTCTGTGGATCTGACGGGCAAGTATATTTGTGTGTCATCAGCATAAATATGAAAAGAAAGAGTTGAGGTGAGAATGTAGATCTGTTTGTACGCCATCGCAGCTTTTCAGTGTGCTCTGTGCGCCTGACAGCACAGTCTATTCACTGCAGTGATTTTCAGAACAGAGAACAGAGAAAGAGAGAGGGAAGATTTTACACACGAAAACTAAACTGAAAACTAAGAATACACAGAGGATATGATTAAAAACTACTGACGCTCTCTTCTGCAATTCTTTAATGCTATGAGATGTTATCTCGGATTTTTACGATGATGATAATTCCATCTGTTAGCCGAGTTAAAGTCTGAAAAGGACTCTAAATTAAATCTGAAAAGGAGCTAATTTCACGTCTAATATCAGGGAAAGGCAATCCTGCATCCTGCCACCTGACATTATCCTGGCTTTAGGCTGCAGGTCCACAGCTGATAGTGAATGTCCGTGGCTACACTCTCCTCTGCGCTCCGGGGAGGGTGATGAAATATTTAGCGGACATTGATTTAAAATCTGAGTTGGCACTTGGCTTATTTATGTTTTTTTTTTTTTACAATTGAAAGGTGCAGTATGGAAGACTTATGGCTTACTAGCGCAAGCACAAATAACACTGCTGGTTTGAATGTCTAAATGATAAAGTGATAACGTGTGATATGAAGTGAAATTCAATATGTGAGAGGCATTATTAGCTATTCCTCTCTCATTAAATTTTATTTTGGTATTAAACCACTACATACATGATCAAACTTTTATTGGGTATCAGCGCACATAATTAAGTTTTTGATTGACTACTTCACTGACATCTGCACAGTAACAAGAGTGGAAACGCTATTTTGAAACATTTGGTGAGTTATGGTACTTTGGAGTTTCCTCAAAGAGCAAGACAAAAGTTTGCGGATGTCAGCACATTCTCACGGCAGCTCAAGAGTTTGCGCCACGGTTCGTTCATTTATATACATCCCATGTGTGCCTGAAAACCAGCGTACATAATCTTTTTGTGCGTAGGCAGCCTTATACATGAGGCCCCTGGTGAATTGGTGGTACACACTTTTAAGTTTGGTGACTAGATGTTTCTATGAGACTTGTTGGAACGTGTCAGTCAGTCAGAAAAATACTGAAGCCCCAAAATGTAATACATTTCAAAGGTATTTAGAGATATGGTTAATAGTTACTCTTCAGATTAAGAGAAAAACAAATAAAGAAAAACATTTGATAAGCTTATAAAATACAATATTTTGTTAAAGATTAAAGAAGTCTCTAGTTAAACCCCTAGTCACATTTCAGATGTCTGAGTTGTAAACAGTTCAACCAAAAGTGATTTCCTCTTTTCAGATAAATACATGTTTGAGGCCTAAAGATGTCAAGTTATTTAATAATTATCACGAAAAACGGAAAGGTTTTAAAGAAAGTTAGAAAAATTAATACAAGCATGTGTAGCAAACTTTGTATTCTTGTCTTTTTTGTTTCATTAATTATTATCTATTTATCTTGTGACCCTTTGGAGGGGCCCGACCACTAGCTACAAGAGTTAAATGCTGGTTACACATTGATGCATCAGTAGTAACAAACTAATAATTTCATGTATAATGATTCATCTGATGTTTCTCTGCAGAATTAGTAGTTCTGTTTTTGCTAATACTTGTTACTGTGTGTGTGTGTGTGTGTGTGTGTGTGTGAACTAGCTGTTCCCACAGATTGAGGAGGCGATGGTGCAGCCACTCAGAGAATCAAGGGATCGATATGAAGAACTCAAGCAGATTGATGATGCCATGAATGAGGTTGGAGGCTTTCTAAGTGTGTAGATACATTTCATTTGTTATTGGTGCAGATAACTAATAACAAGTGATGTTACCTTCAGGTGCAGAAAAAGAAAAGTGAGAACTTGACCATGGGAGGGAAGAAGAAGTAAACATTTTTGAAAAGGTAGGAAAAAACAGACCTTCCTGAAGTTTTTGCTGTCAGTGTATGGCCAGGTTTCAGATCAGAGAGGCTAACTTGGACAAACATAGATTTTATAAGCAGTTTTCTTTATAAATCTGTCTGTTTCAGCACCAGTGAGGGTAGAGCACGAGAGTGAAGCAGTGTGACGTACAATAAACTGGAGTTGTCAAACACGTTGTTCAGTTACGGGCTTTCCATCACACTGTCCTCTCCTCTTCGACTGTTGAAGAGCAGAGGACCAGCAGGATTTGTAATCAGGAAAAATCAAGAAGATTTCCAGTCTGTCACGGAACAGTGATGGGAGTGGGTCTGAGAGCTCTGAGACAGCATTACAAACTACTGATGGACTCAAGGACAACATGGACAATCCAAAGCTTTTTTCAGGAAATGTCAACATTTGTACAGCACAGACTACTTCAGTGAACAATATTTAGATAGGCATCTTGCATGGTTTTTTATTTGAAATGTGTTGTTTTTTACAATTTGTACAGATATTTAGTGACCCTTGTACTTTCCTACAAAAAATAAAAGGATTACTTTAATTGCAAAATCTAGTTTCGATTGTTAATGTCTCTGCTTATCATTGATGAACAAAAGTATGTAGTAGTACAAAAGTGCTGTAAAGTATGCTTATAAAATTATACACCCAAGGGAACTTTTGGTTAGTTTCCTGGGAAGTGATGAAAGAACAGCATTGTAAGTGGGGTATAAGTGGTGTCATAGTTAAGCGATGGTTTCTCAACCTGTACTTCCTTGGCACCTCTTTCAAATCATTCATCTTCTGACAGAATCTGTCTTAGCGTGATCTTGGGTTATAACACAGGGATGTGGCATTTGTTGAAAATACCTGAGTCCCTCTGATACACGTTGACACGTCACATCACAATGTTGTTGCGTTAAGTCTTCTTCTCCTGATCCCCTGTAGTGTTGGTGTTCTTCCTGGATCTTGTGGCCGTTTTCACAAAGGTCCCTTCAGGTGGATCCTGTTCCTTTTCTTGGGCTTGGGCACTTGTTGGTATGTTGTCAGCTCGGTGGTGCAAGGTTCTGATGACCCCTTGCTTATGCTCCAGTGGGTGGTGGGAATTGAAAAGTAGGTACTTCGGTTTGAAAGAGGGGTCAAGGAAGTGTTACAACCCAGCTCGTTAGGGTAGGGCAGTAACAAGTTATTTGGGATTGAAATGAAGGTGGTAAAGGACAACTGAATTTAGGTTAAAGTCAAATGTTTAATAAAATGATTTGTCTCAAGAAAACACAACAAAAGGAGGCTATATAGGTACTGACAAAAAAAGGAAACAAAAGGAGGTATTGTCCAAAGACAGCTCTCTACTCAAAAAACACTGAAGAACAAAAGGAGGTCAGTACCTACATGTTTTACAAGAATGCAAAGTAACCAAACAGACAATGCTCAAACCAAAGAAGTGCCACTCACACTATGTGATTTACAAGGGTTCTAACTGACGGAAGCCGCTTAAGCAGGCAACCAACAGAAACAGGTAAATGCCAACACTCAAGAAATTCACTATTAACAGGGGTACGCATCCAACAACGAGGCAAACTGATCACTGGCTCACAGTCGCCTCAAACTGCAGAGACACAAACTATTTGTAGTCCAGCTGGTGTTGATTGGAGAGTCCTGGTTGGCAGGTTCGGTCGGATCTTCGGCCAAACCAATCTCAGACGGTCCCAGGTCCAGAGGAACCAATCCTCAACAGGGACTCACAGCTGGGATTTGCATACCATTCAGAGAACTCCAGAACACAACTATTGTTCTAAGGCAGCCAGCGGCGGCTGTAACAGAAGCCATTTAAACCCAGGTTGAGAAACCGTCGCTTAACAATCGAGGATGCCAACAATTGTCATTCAGACTTGGCCTTGGGTGGCTCCAAGACCAAAATGACAAGAGCACAAACAAACCAGTGGTATTGATCATTGTGACAACGATCCCTCAAAGGTTAATTAGCCGAGTTTCCCGACCAGTGAGCCAGAACTGAAGAAGTTATTGATGAGGAACAAAACGTCTAGTATCTTCTACATAGGCCAGTTGCCCTTGATTTCAACCTTACATCATACAATATATTTGCAGATGTGAATTTTTCTTTCAGCCATAAAAACATTATGTAAGCCTTCAAAACTTAGTTTCAATCTCACAAACCCTTTTTATTACATACCATACTCAGAGTTTCAACCGTTGAAGGACCCCCCCCCCCCATTCCCATATTTCACCAGCATTAGCAATTATTTAAAATCTTTTCTAAATGTGCAGCCCTTTTTGCAAAACAGTGAAAAAGAGAAATTACCCTGAGTGCCAGATCAAGGTGCTGATCAGTGAAATGGAGGCGAGAAGAAATATTTTATTTGATGATTTGTACACTTGAATCAGCAACAAGCACAAAACAACAGTGGCAGAGGGTCACAATAACAGTCTGCATTACTGATTCTTGAGTGCACTGTACTCTATCACTTTCCCACATGCTGGATCAATTCTGTGCACAAGAAAGAAATGTTAGAAAATTGTGGTGTAATGCACAGGAAGTCAAAGTAACAAGTACAGAGCAAAGAGAAAGTGAGAAGGACATATGGTGCACATTCACAAATGCCATGTTTAATTCAGCAATGATGGTGGAAACAGAAGGCACAGTTTTATGTTAGTTGCAAAGTTTATTTTTAAAAATCAAAGAAATCCATCAACACAGGCTGTGTGACAAAACCCACACTTTCCACATGCTTCATTAAATGCACACATTCGACTCAGATTCCTCACTCAAAAAATGAAACAAAGAAAATAACAGTGCCCTTGTTAAAGTGCTGTTTAAGTAGATTTTTCCATTAAAGCTTTTGACATTTCTTTCTTGGCCTTCTTGTTGCTATTTGCTCTCTGGACTGTCTTCCTCTTCAGCTGCTGTTCCTCCACTCTCTGCTGCTTCTTCTGCAGGTATGCAGTCACATTGTCAAAGCTCACCTTGTAAAGATGCTCGAATCGGTTGTTGGTCCTTGTGGTGGCTGTGTATGAGAACAGCAGGAGGAAAAGGTCAGGACAGGAATCCTGGCTAAACACTGTTAATCATCTTTGAGAAGTAACCACATGTATGTAAAAAATGGGAGAGGCACTCTTTTTCCTCCGCTGTCGCAGTATGGCTTTCAAATGGTGATAGCAGCTAATTACAGACCACAGAGCAGCAAGCTCCGGTTGTGAGCAGTGGTCTGAGGACAGTACATAGAGAACTTTGTGGGCACTAAATTGACAGAGAGCAGTTAAGTGTGTCTGTGTTCTGTGTATACTATACACAAACACACACTGTCTTAATGTAAATTTTGGCGCCAACAGTGTGTCTCTGTGACTGAACTAACCATTCAACTGGTCACAGCATGTAGCCTGATGAAGACAGGGCAATGACTACTTGTATTTTTTGTGGACATGAAGGATGGTCATGCTCGGGTCAAAGTAAAGAAGTTAAAACACCTGACATAGGCAATTCGTCATGATATGTCACATCATCATCTCCTAATTAGCCAACCTGATATTAGTTTTCAGTAAGATTACAGACTGGTTTGTCCACTTCAGTATCTAATTATCTTCATGTGATTGGAAAAACCTGGATGCATTGGACTCCACCCTGATCTGTGGGTGTTTGTGATGGACTTCAACTTGGTACACTGTAACGTGTTCTTTATATTTACTTTGACACAATAGAGATTATCCATGCATATCTGATGCGCTGATTTAATTGTGAAGTCAAAATACAATATGGGAAAGAACATGCAAAGAACATCATTTTAAAAATGCTGCACGTCCATCACTGTCTGGTTTGGATCTGCCACCAAAAAGGACAGGAGCAGACTACAACGGACAGTCAGGACTGCAGAAAAGACCATCGGTGCCAATCTGCCCTCCATTCAGGACTTATACATTTCCAGAGACAGGAAACGGGCAGGAAACATCACTGCTGATCCATCTCACCCCGGACAAAACCTGTTTCAACTTCTCCCCTCTGGTAGGCGCTACATGCAAAATGTACAATCCTGAGTCAAATTCCTTGTATGACAAGGTATAATCTCACTGTACTCATAATAAAGACAACTTCTTTACTACACATTAGATGAACAAAACATCTCTATACCAGTTTAACAGAAAGAGGAGCATCTGTGTTTTTGACAGCAGTGAAAGTCGACCATCGGGATTTCTAAATACCTGGTATACTGTGATAATTCCCAAGTCTAGTTACCAGGCTGGTGAGGATCCTTCATAATATAGATCTTCAAATAAACCAAAACAAGGTAGTTTGTCAGAGTAGCAAGACTGCAACAGGTGTGGAAGGGCCACGGCAGTAATGTTATCGTCTGAACATACTAAACAGTGAATTCTGAGAAGCGTTAGAGCAGTAGATGAGGACATGGGGTTACCTACAGTGTCTGCGAGAGAGGCGAGAGAACCAAAGCAGTAGATATCCCCCCCCCACTGCCAATCTCTCCATCAGCATGCAGTGATCTACGGCGTCACATGCTGCACTAATTAGATCATTACAGAGATTACACTGATGTCAGCTGCACAACATGTTCGGTGGGGGGGTGGAATGGGAGGTCATTTCTGTCTAGAGGGAGCGAGTGGAACAAGTATGAAAGAGGGAGTACGCAGAAGATGCACTGACAAGAGACCAAAAGAGGGGGGTGTGTGTGTGTGTGTGTGTGTGTGTGTGTGTGTGTGTGTGTGTGTGTGTGTGTGTGTGTGTGTGTGAGAGATGAAGACTCACCCTCCAGTGTCTGCCAGTGTGGCCTGAAGGCTTCAGTCACTCTGTTCAGTTCAGGGCTCTCAGCTTCACACTAGATCGAGCAGGAAAGCCCAGGCAAGGCGGAGTCAGCACACAAAGGAGAGCAGTTCTAAAGAGATCACCTGAAATACTGAAAAAGGCCACACTGGCAAAAGGCCAGGCACTACACCTGTCTCTCACCACTGCAGACATTGCAACTGGGTCTCCTTAATCTTCCGCTCACTCCTCCTCCTGATCATCTTTTATTTGGTGTAGTCCCTTTTCATGTCCCAGTGCTTTTAAATTTAGGACAGTTGTCCATTATGCCCGAAATGAGAGACTCCTAGCTTTGCTGGAGAACTAAGTACCAGCAGATTCTCAAGTGTGGAATTCAGTAACTACAGGTACCTCACTATACAAACTCAGCTGCTGGACTAACACTGTGGTGTACCTCCCTAACAAACGGGTGCAGACACACCCACGTGATGCAGGGTGGCTATTACGGCACTAGTTAAACACTTTTTACTGTTTTTGTGCCTCTAAAAACAGAAAAGCCTACGAGCAATGAGAAAAATGTTTTATGAGCAGTGTGCCAGTAACCTTTAAGACAACAACCTACGGTAACCCCGTCTCCGACACGCTGCTAATCATTCAAAACATAGTCAAACTCGCCAGAGCGACGTCGGCAGCAGTTGAAGCAGTAAGACAGCAGAAAACAGGGACAATATATTAGCAAGCTTTGGCCATTTTAACGTATTGTTGTTCAACTTTTCATAAAGCCGACGTGCCTGTAAGTTTCACTATTCACTAACCGACCAATCACAGCCCGGATGGGGCGGGACGTTAAAAAAGACGAACTACAGCAAATGTTGAACAATATGATTATTGACAAGTTAGTACTTAGCATTAACAAATTACAGACCAATGTAAAAGTATACTATTATATGAAATTCTAATGAATGTAGTATTTAATATATTATTGTTATGTGTTCTTTATTTAATACACTTGTGTACAGTTCCTGGTTGTGGATAGACACTCTTCATTAGACAGATGCTTCTGTCCACCTCCTCTGTTTTACTAGTTATTGTTATAAATATTGTTTCTTTGTTCAAGTTGAGAAATACACATTTCAAAATGTCAGTATTTCATGCATTCCTTGATAATTAAGCAAGTAGACTAATAGTACCATTTGTTCCATTATAATTGAATTGTAAATTGCAATATTGTCCACAATATTTGCAATATGACTTTTTCTCCACCTCGTGCAGCTCTAATACAGAACTGCAATATTATTTATTGGCCAGATGTGCTGGAACAGGTGGTGGAGCTGTGTGCAAGGTCAGAGCTTCTCAGCTGACCAATCAGAGCTCCTGTTGCTGCTCTGCTCATATACATTTATTTTGTTTTCCATCTGCTTGTGTTTATGAAACAATCAGTATCTAAATGTGAATGAATGTGTCACACTGTACCTCCCAGGAGCCTTGTCTGTGTGTGTAGACTCGGAGCAGTACATCACTGGAGTCCATCAAAACCCACAGCCGATCTTCTGGGTCAAAGGTCATGTCCAGCGGACAGTGGGGCAGGGAGAGCCTGCTGTGTGGAATGAGCTTCTCTTCACCCTCCTGGTCCAGAACGAAAAACTGAACCGTGGACACTCTGAGGACACACAGGAAACATCAAACTGATGTCTGAGCCACTGAGATGATCAGCTGTGTTTCAGGACATTCAGGAGTCTAAATGTTCACACTTGAAAGAAGGGATGGCTTCACATGACTTTCTCTTTGCCTCTGACCTACTTTGGGTCGGACCACCTACATGTACAGTATACAGCCCAGTGAGCTCTGCGGTGACCTTGTGCCCCTATACATCAAAAAATAATTTTACGACCGTAAGCAAAAATAGCTTTAAGCCAGCTCACTTGTCACGGTCATGTCAAGCTAAAAACAGCTTCCTGTGGGGTTCCTGTTCACAGCAACTCCAGAAAAAATGTCTGGGCCCTAAATAAACATTTCCAAAGACAACAATAAAACTAACTTTATTCTAGAATAGGAACTGATGTCAACATACTCACTTGGCAAATAAAATATTAAATAGCCAAATGTTATCTATAGGGTTGGGTATCGATTCTGCTTCTCGGTTCGTCCCTTTGGTGCATATTTCAGTGGCGCTCCTGATTGAACTGCAGTGAGTATTGTACAGTCCATAAAAGTGTGTTACCTGCAGTAAGGAGGTTTGGTGCGAGGGAGGAAGCAGCTCCAACGTGACGAAACATTTACTTATAGCAGGAATCCACTGACTCCGGCTACGTCACGTTACGGCTGCACTACGGTTTTGATCCGTCCATAGCCCCGCGTCAAAGTCCACTGGAAGTGTCTCAGACGTGTTTCAGCAGCAGAGCGTGCAGCCTGCCCCACATTATTTACTTGTTATTCATTTCTCCTTTTTGTGCTTCTACTACCTTCTTCACAGCTCTATGTGACCCCATTTTGTTCCGTCAACTTCAGGCTGCATTTCCCACAACGAGCATTTCAGAATCAGAGCGTTCTGCCTGTTGCTGACATATTTAGAAGGAGATGATGAGCAAGGAGGAAGAGGGTGAAGGTCACCGAGCGGGTTAGAACCAAGATTTGATTAGAACTGGATTCCACAAATAGAATTAAAAAAAATTTAAAAATACCCAACCCTAGTTATCTGCTCACAAAACATTGAAAGAGTAGATTCATTTGTATTTCTGTAAACGCATCACAGCCCACTTTAAAAGGAATTACTGGCTGTCAGCTGGAACTGACCTTTTCTCCGTCAGACCTTACACTTCAGCCAGTTTGCTCTGTTACAGAGTTCAGTCTGTGTTAATAAATCAGGTGCAGCAGCTTAGATAGATAGATTTCCATTAATCAACTGTTGCTTATGTTGTGTGTTTATGTAACAAGAATCTTGGCTGATATACAGTACATGATATACGAGGAATGTTGTGTTTGCATCAGGCTGCACACCTGAGTTTCATGCTATTCCACTAATCCTCTTTTCATTTGCACTTCATAGTGTCTATATCTACAGGCAACACGCAGGAGGCGTTCTGAACACCACTGTCTCTATGATCTCAAATAGGAGTCCTGTCTGTCCCCTTCACCTGCAGACTCAAAGAACTGATCACACACACAGGAGTTACACCCACCTTTCACACAGCACAGCCACATGGCGAGCATCAACAGAGCTGGTGATACGGCACACAGTTGGCTTCTGGGAAATAGAATATAGACAGAGTGGTGGAGTCATCACAGGTTTCTTACTGCTCATTTTACAAATAAACAATTTACAAATATTTCACTGCCTGTCCTTGTACTGGTTGTTATTTAGAAAGAGCGCTAATATTTAGTTCTACAGAAGGATCTGACAACAAGCCCTGCTTACAGTCTAAATATCTCAAACCTTTACAGTTGCATTTAATCAACGTTATTTTTACCAACAATGGAACAAATAACTTTGTATAATGAGAAAGGACATGTGTAAGCTATGTGCTTACACATGTCCTTTCTCATTATACAAATAACTTTGTATAATGAGAAAGGACATGTGTAAGCTATGTGCTTACACACCTACAGTAAGCATGGAGGGACAAGGTTTAACTTGGAAGGCAGTCTGTAATCTTTCAGTCTGTCCTGTCATAATCAATAGAAATGATGGCCACAGACATTAAAAGAACACCCAAATTGTAACAGTGTGGAATGATCCTTTTAAGGAAGAAAGGAATACTGTGGCAGTGTAGCTGCATGTTAACATGTTTACTGAACTTATACAAAAAATATTAATGTAAATGCCATACTGCAGTGATGAGGAGCACTGGTTTCCAAGGTAATGTGAAAAGACCAAACCTCTGTGGGCTGATGTCTAGAAGGAAAGTGACATTTCCACAAAAACAGAAATAACACCTGTTCATCACCTGTACCTGTCCATTAATTCTTTCCCCCTCAATATTACTAATTTCCTTATCCCTTCTAATATTTTACTTAATTCATACATTTCCTTCTTACAAAAGGCACATCTCTAAAAGTATTACATTTATTTAAGATTTAGGTTTATTGCTGTATGTTGGCATTTGATCCAGGGAGGAAAGTATATATATGTGGAATTATAAGATAGAGAAAGAATATTAACCATAACAAATCACATTTTCTTCATCATTTTGTGGGAAATGTTATTCAATTTGAAAAGCAATGACCCTGAATGTGATTTTGTTTGGAGCCATGTCCTTTTATGTTGCTTTGGAGACTGATGGTTTCAATTTACAAGCCGCTGACAGGCTAACACTGAGCACAGCTGATGCTCCCACAAATAATCAGGGGAAGAAGCCCTGCATTCATCTCCCCTGGACTAGAGGAAGGGGGACCAGTCACTCTGATGACATCTTATCACTTTGACAACACAGTACAGAGGCGGAATACTCTGGCCTGCAATCCTTCCCGTCGGAAGCAGATTTTTTAAAATGGAGGCTTAAATACTTGTTCAATAACAAGTTTATACTTTTAAAATGTTTTAAATCTGTCTGGAAATTGAGGTTACACTATTATGTATTTCACTTTCAAATCGGTTAGTGTTGCATGATAGGTAGGTAGGTACATTTATTTGTCACAATATAAGTTATTAGGGGTGTAACGGTACATGTATTCGTACCGGACAGTTTCGGTATAGAACGGTGCACGTGTGCACTAATTGCAGTCTTTAACTTTATATATTGGGCTCTTTTATGAAAAGCGCTGCAAGATAACGATTTGGCGCTATATAAATAAAATTGAATTGAATTAAACAGAAATAAACTATCATCAGTGGAGCAGTGCTGAGGATGAATTAGAGTTTAAGAGTCTGATAGCTTGGGGGGGGGGGGGGGGAGCTGCTCTGCAGTCTGGTGGTGCGGCAGCAGAAACTTCTCTCTCTCTTCCCAGAATGCAGCAGGGTGAACAGGCTGTGGCTGGGTGGGTACATCCCATGTTAGTATTGTGTTTCCTCAAAATTCCAGTCATTTCTGAGCTTTCTTCACCAGCGTGGAGATGTGAGACGACCATGTCAGCTTCTCTGTGATGCTGATTCCCAGGAACCTGAAACTGTTCACACCTGCTCCACCTCAGCTCCACTGATGTAGACAGGAGTGTGTGTCCTTATCTCCTTTTTCCTGAAATCAATGATCAGCTCCTTGGTTTTGTTGAGGGTTATAGGAGCTGGCCAAGTGAAGTGACATCTACAGACTGACGTGTGTGAAGTTTTATTCCTTTCCAAGTATCAACAAGGATGTTCGTTGGCATTCAGCTTTTTTGCCCTTTGCCAATCACATGCCTGTGAACTGACTGGGGTCTGTTTGTGAGGAAGTCCAATACCCAGTTGCAGAGTGTCATATTCAAACCCAGAGTGCTGAGTTTGTTGATCAGTTTCATGGGGAGATTGTGTTGAATACTGAGCTGAAATCCACAAACAGCATTCTGATGTAGGTGCTGTTTTTCTCAAGGTGTGTGAGGGCTGAGTGGAGGGCAGTGGAGATGGCATCCTCTGTGCATCTGTTAGTTCTGAAAACAAACTTGTGAGGGATGTTGTTTCTTATGTGCTGAAGAACCAGTTTCTCAGAGCACTTCATCAAAATGGGGGTGAGAGCCACAGGGCGGTAGTCGTTCAGACTGGACACTGCAGACTTTTTAGGTCCAGGAATGATGGTGGCTGTCTTGAAACAGGTGGGAACCCTCTCCTGAGACAGTGAGTTGTTGAAAATGTCAGTAATAACATCAACTAGCAGATTGGCACAGGTTTTTAGTTATCAGGCCCAGCTGATTTACTCATATTCACTCTCAGCAGGACTCTCCTCACATCTGCTGTGGATATCCGGCGCTGACGAGAGCAGCAGCTCCTCCTTTCCTCTTTTTTCTTATTTTTTCTCGATTTGGATTCCTTGGACTTACACCACCTTTTGGGATTACTGCACTTTTTTATTTTACCCATTTATGGAACTATGGCTGATGGAGTTAGGACACGCATTGTTTATACTCGGGATCAGCTGTTAGCGCTGCGGAGCGCAGTGGAGATCCCCAGAGACAGACAGGTGATACCCCCGGAGCTGTTGCGCAAGATCCACCGAGGATGTCGTGCTGGAAAGAAACTTCAAGAGAAGAAAAGGCGCTTTAGACCTGCTGTCCCCTCTGTCACTATGGGTAACCTCAGGTCCATTTCTAATAAGACAGACGAGCTCTCAGCGCTAACACGACACCAGCGAGAGTACAGGGACAGCTGCGTACTGATCTTCTCTGAGAGTTGGCTGACACCAAACATCCTGGACTCTGCTGTTATTTTGGACAATTTCAAGAGGAAGCTAAACAGACAGCTGGAGCAGAGAGACATTAGGGGGCCTGAAGCTGGGAGTGGTACCACAGCTGTGGAAGACCTCCTGTGTGGTACCGGTGCCAAAAACACCGCACCCTAAAGACCCCAACAGCTACAGGCCGGTGGCTCTTACATCACACCTGATGAAGACGCTGGAGAGACTGTTCCTGCAACACCTCCGCTCCACAGTGGGCCCCTCCATGGACCCGCTGCAGTTTGCCTACAGGCCCAACATCGGAGTGGAGGACAGTGTCATCTTCCAGCAGCATCGTGCCCTCGCACACCTGGAGAAGCCCGGCAGCACTGTGAGAATCATGTCTTTTGATTTCTCAAGTGCTTTTAACACCATCCAGCCGAAGCTTCTGAAAATACTCCAGTCCGTGCTCCCAAAACAGTCCTGCAGAGCTGCTATAATCAGCTGGGTGTAAGTGATCTGAAGAAGCAGAGAAATATGGTCTGATAAACCAAAATGGGGACGGGGGAGGGCTTTGTAGCTGCCAGGAATATTGGTGTTGACGTGGTCCTGCATGTTTGTTCCTCTGGTGGGGATGTGGACATGCTGGTAAAATACTGTTCTGAGATTTGTTTGATTCAGTCAGGTTGTTTTGTCATGTGACTGCTGATGACCTTGTACAGTTGCTGTAGTGCATTTTCTGAATTCGCATCTGGAGGACGACAAAAACATTGGAGAATTCCACATCTGGTAAACATTGTCCATGCACTTTAGCTGCTTTTGAGCACCAGGCATTATTTATGTAGATACACAGTCCTCCTCCCCGCTTGCTTTCCTCCCTTCGTTCTCAGAGGTTTCCTCTAGCTCTTGTGTTGTCGGGAGATGCCGTTACTAGTTATCGTTTCCAGATCCGCTGCACTCAGTCCAGTCCCCGCACTCTCTTTTCCAATATTGATTAATGTATTTATGTCATAGGTGATCATGGTTAGACATTTTTATGTAAAGAAAAGGAGAAAAAAAACTTTAAAAACAAAAATGTAGCAAAAATTAAGGAAGCTACTGGTTGCTGCATCCACACGCGCTGCTGTTGCCATGGAAGATGGTGGATGGATGGATGATTTACTCTGTCAAAAGGATATAACTTTGGTGCAACACTGAATTACTTGAGTACAGAATTCCAGATTTAAAGATTTTGACCAATAAAAACCTGAATCAGCCTTTGAATTTGTTTTGGTCAGACCCTACAGAACATGAAAGCACATACTCACATGCCCTATGTACACTCACCTAAAGGATTATTAGGAACACCATACTAATACTGTGTTTGACCCCCTTTCGCCTTCAGAACTGCCTTAATTCTACGTGGCATTGATTCAACAAGGTGCTGAAAGCATTCTTTAGAAATGTTGGCCCATATTGATAGGATAGCATCTTGCAGTTGATGGAGATTTGTGGGATGCACATCCAGGGCACGAAGCTCCCGTTCCACCACATCCCAAAGATGCTCTATTGGGTTGAGATCTGGTGACTGTGGGGGCCATTTTAGTACAGTGAACTCATTGTCATGTTCAAGAAACCAGTTTGAAATGATTGGAGCTTTGTGACACGGTGCATTATCCTGCTGGAAGTAGCCATCAGAGGATGGTACATGGTGGCCATAAAGGGATGGACATGGTCAGAAACAATGCTCAGGTAGGCCGTGGCATTTAAACCATGCCCAATTGGCACTAAGGGGCCTAAAGTGTGCCAAGAAAACATCCCCCACACCATTACACCACCACCACCAGCCTGCACAGTGGTAACAAGGCATGATGGATCCATGTTCTCATTCTGTTTACGCCAAATTCTGACTCTACCATCTGAATGTCTCAACAGAAATAGAGACTCATCAGACCAGGCAACATTTTTCCAGTCTTCAACTGTCCAATTTTGGTGAGCTCTTGCAAATTGTAACCTCTTTTTCCTATTTGTAGTGGAGATGAGTGGTACCCGGTGGGCTCTTCTGCTGTTGTAGCCCATCCGCCTCAAGGTTGTGCGTGTTGTGGCTTCACAAATGCTTTGCTGCATACCTCGGTCGTAATGAGTGGTTATTTCAGTCAAAGTTGCTCTTCTATCAGCTTGAATCAGTCGGCCCATTCTCCTCTGACCTCTAGCATCAACAAGGCATTTTCACCCACAGGACTGCCGCATACGGGATGTTTTTCCCTCTTCACACCATTCTTTGTAAACCCTAGAAATGGTTGTGCGTGAAAATCCCAGTAACTGAGCAGATTGTGAAATACTCAGACCGGCCCGTCTGGCACCAACAACCATGCCACGCTCAAAATTGCTTAAATCACCTTTCTTTCCCATTCTGACATTCAGTTTGGAGTTCAGGAGATTGTCTTGACCAGGACCACACCCCTAAATGCATTGAAGCAACTGCCATGTGATTGGTTGATTAGATAATTGCATTAATGAGAAATTGAACAGGTGTTCCTAATAATCCTTTAGGTGAGTGTATGTTGAGAGAATTAGTGCTCAGTAAAGCATAGCATAGCTTTGAGCTAAATAAAGCTAATTGCTAATTAGCATAATACACAGTATACAGTTTAGGTCAAAGTATTGATGATGATGGCACTAGACAAGAGTCAGAGGATCACCATTGTCATCATTATTCATCCTGAGGGGGAACATCAATGTGTGTCAAATTGTATGGCAATCCTTCCAATAGCTGTTGAGACATTCACCATCAATGTCAACCTGATGATGACGCTAGAGGAAAAGTCAATACACTTTTCTATTTTTTTTGACAAACCTACAAGAACATACTGTGACAATCTGACTTCCCATCATCTGTCAATTTAAGGAAACCACATTTTATCTGAACCATGAATGCAAAAAGTTGGCCACCAGGTGGCATTAGTGTGACGCTGACTAGAGCCAGAAAGCGGATCGGATGAATTGGAAAGGAAGTTCGGTTGTCTATATCGCCTTATAATTAATAGTTGTGTATAGTCTGTTCAAATTAAAAAGCCATCGGCAATAGGCACAGACTTGCGGACTCATGGACACGTTTCTGGAGCTGCCACTGACAGGAAAAGTGACTGACTAATGCTCTATTTACATGATGGTTCTTGCACCATTAACACTATTTCTTTTAGAGATTTAGAACTGTTCAGGTTATCCCCAGCTGGCGCTCCATTAAAAACAAATCTCTGAAGTTGTTCATTACATAGAGGAAAAATCCTCTGGACACCATACCTGAAGCAAATATCATGCAGTCCATGCAACAGTTGCTGAGATATTTCAATAAAAGCCAAAAGTGTCAACCTCATGGTAGCACCAGATCAAAAGTACGGGGATCACCAAGTCTATAGAGCCAGTTCATTGTTTTTACAGTGTTGTAGGGTAAAACACAATAAAAATCTGACTGATTATTTGTTGTTTTTTTATTTTACAATTTGCGATGATTCTTGATATGGGAATGACCATTTTCGTAACAATTATGATTTTCACTGAATAAATCACGATGATACGATATCTGTTGGGGTCAGTACCACACAAACATCTGGAGTACAGGATCTGTGGCCCGGGGCACCTCTGTAGCTCTACAGCACTTCATTATAATTGTATAATTACAATTATTATTAGCTGTATGCACACATTTTACCTTCATCAAAAAACTGCAGCTTCTGCAATATGGATATTTTGATTTATTGTGCAGCCCTACGCTGTGCTTACCTTCTGTTTGTCAGCCTCAGAGCTCGGTGTCTTTTCAAGGTCGTTAAGGTCCCAGCTCTGCAGCTTATGGCCAGTCTCATACTCCCACAGCTTAATGGTCCCATCCTGACAAACACATCACACTAAAACTCTGAGTCAGCTTTGATATTATACCAAAGTTTACGTCAAAGTTTCTGTGTAGTTCAGTAGATCTTTGCTGAACTGAAATACAAACGTTTGCCCCAGTAAATTAATTTTTATGGTTTGAGGTTCATGCAAGTTTCATTTGTAGCCTTGTTTTCTTAATCTGACTTGAAGAATTTGTTGATGTGAGATTTTTATCTCTACCAACTCAAACGAAAACAAAGAACAGAGAAGATGTGGTAACAACACAGCTATATTTACAGGGGTTTTGTACAGTTGTATGAAGAAGTGGAAATTACCTCATTTTTCTATACATTAGCTGGTCTTACTAGAAAACTTTGCAGTTCCTGAGCAGAGAATAAAACATCTGCCAACAATCAACAACTTGCTGAAAGTTTATAGTTTCTGTATCGTCTCTGTTGGATTAGATTTTGTGACAGAGTAGCAGCTACATGCTCTTTTACAGCTGATTCTGAAAACCTAGATGTTGGACTAGATGTGAAGCCACATCTCCACCCAAATCTTAATTTACTGTAGACTAAAATGGAGAACATGCAGCTCAGAATATTGATAAGTGGCCTGTGTGCATATGTGTGTTAATGTAACTTTGGTAAACGCACACGTACCCCTGATCCAGACAGCAGCCAGTTTGGATGACCTGATGGGACCAGCAGAGCACTGACAAACCTGAGAGAAAACAGTAATTATAAAATCAAACTTTGGGTATCCTGGGAAACCTCAATGAGCACACATACAGACTGTTCTTCACTTTAATTTGTGAACTGCAGTACTGTAGTGAAACTGTTAGTATATACAGTGTTTATTTCCCCTTTTGGGTTCAGTAACTCACTGTTTATGTCCCAGGCAGAAGGACTGGATGTTGTATGGAGAGTTCAGGAGGCTCACTCTAATCTTCTCATCACGGTCAGCTGTGATGATGTACTTGTCATCAGGCGACATGGTCTAAAGGACAGCAGAAGGGGGCATTCACTGTCACTCAACTCCACAAAAGTAGTACATTAGAAGAGCCAATGGTGAGTCCAAGTTCATGAGAGGATCCGTATGAGGGAATGACATGTGGTAAAGTGTGATCTGAAACTAGAGTTGCAATGATTATTTGATTATTTGCTGACTGTTAAATTAATCACTAACTATTTTTTGTTTGCATTTTTAAAGACAAAGCTTCTTAAATGTGAATATTTTCCAGTTTCTTTCCTCCTCTATAGACCAAACAACTAATCAATGAATCAAGAAAATAAACAGGTGATTCAACAATGAAAATAATCATTAGTTGTAGCCCTATTTGAAACATCCAGGTAGTACTTGAAAATCAGAATTTGACAGTACTTAGCTCAAGCAGATGAAAATTTCATCTCAATTTCATAGAGCTTGAAGGTTCATTCTTGTGCTTAGAAATAGGTTGGGGAAAAAAAAAAAAAAAAACAGAACTGCAAGCAGTTGTAAGGGGGGCCCTGCGATGTCATTGCCTGTGCACAGCCCTCTTCAGATCACCCCACAGATGTTCAATTGGATTCAGGTCTGGGCTCTGGCTGGGCCATTCCAGAACATTAATCTTCCTCTGGTGAAGCCATGCTTTTGTGGATTCGGATGTGTGCTTTGGGTCGTGCTGAAAGGTGAACTTCCTCTTCATCTTCAGCTTTCTAACACTAATTTTTGTGCCAAAATTGCCTGGTATTTGGAACTGTTCATAACTCCCTCCACCCTGACTAAGGCCCTGGTTCCAGCTGAAGAAAAACAGCCCCAAAGCATGATGCTGCCACCACCATGCTTCAATTCAATTCAATTCAATTTCAATTAAATTTTATTTATATAGCGCCAAATCACAACAACAGTTATCTCACAGCGCTTTTCATAAAAGAGCAGGTCTAGACCGTACTCTGTGATGATATTTACAGAAGCCCAACAGTTCCCACCAAGAGCAGCACTAGGAGACAGAGGCAAGGAAAAACTTCCTTTAAGAGGCAGAAACCTCGAGCAGAACCATGGCTCAGGGTGGGCGGCCATCTGCCTCGACCGGTTGACTTCACTGTGGGTATGCTGTTCCTTGGGTGATGTGCAGTGTTGTTTTTGCGCCAAACATACCTTTTGGAATTATAGCCAAAAACTTCTACCTTGGTTTCATCAGACCATAACACATTTTCCCACATGCTTTTGGGGGACTTGTTTGTTTTTGCAAACTTCAGCCGTACTTGGATGTTTTTCTTTGTAAGAAAAGGCTTCCGTCTTGCCCACCTTACCCCATAGCCCATTCATATGAAGAATACGGGAGATAGTTGTCACATGTACCACACAGACAATACTTTCCAGAAATTCCTGCTGTTCCTTTATTGTTGCTGTAGGCCTCGTGGAAGCCTCCCTGACCAGTTTTCTTCTAGTCTTTCCATCAATTTTGGAGAGACGTCCAGTTCTTGGTAACGGCACAGTTGTGCCATATTTTCTTCACTTGATGACGGTCTTCACTGTGTTCCAAGGTATATCTAATGCTTTGGAAATTCTTTTGTAAAGCAAAAGTACTTCTAAAACGACACATCGATGAACCGTTGAAATAATCTATAGAAGCTTCAAGTACTAAAATCATTGTTAGCTGCATTTTTAGCGGGCCGCCAAGGTGTATTAACAGCTGCCAAAGTATATTTAGCTTATAGTTAGGGCTGGCTCAGTTGAGTCCTGTACCAACCGTCCTCCTCTCTACTCCTCTCCATCTGTATGCATTCTTATCCCATTAACGCATGTTACTAACTCCATGTCTTCCCTCTCCCATAGTCTTGTGCTTTCTCGCCCCAGGGCTATGCAATGCTAACTTGGTCACAGTAAAGTATGACGACAGCTGGAATAAAGTTACATACATATGTTTTCTGAACTCACCAGGTAGTTCAACCTCCTCACTTTCCTATCTCCCAGTAATGTCCAGTTTTTTCCGGTTTTTATATAAATATGAAGTCGTAGTCTGACAGAGCTAATGACGCTAACAACAACACTGGAACCGGAGGTGCACGGAAGCTGCTGAGAAGCTCCAGTGAAGTGAAATCCCAAAAACTAAGGTAAAAAGCTAATTTAATAAAAGCAGTTTACTCCGAGCTCCTCCCGTGAGTAAATGGCGTAGTTGTCAGAGCAGAATCCGACCAACTACAGGGGTTTATTTGTCCAAAGGTTGCAGCACTGCTGCCTGCTCCTCTCCCCCAAGTTTAGCAGCTCTCAGCCGGCCAGCAGATTTTCAATCGCCCGCTCTGCCTGGGCCTCTCTTCACGACTCGGTGACATACGGACAAACTCATCACTGATAGGCTATACTCAGCGTCATGCGAATTTCTCACTTGAGTAGAAAATATTCAACTCACGCCGCCCAACAACTAAGGTAAACGAAATCTCGGCTCTACGCATCTTTGCATGGACTATGTAAATACAAAGTCCATGCAAAGATCTCCGCCCCGAACGCTCGCTTCACTTTTGGTATGAAAGCACCATAACATAATCACACATATTGTTTTCAATTCTCCAGACTACAGTATTGATAGTTTTGCCCAGTTCCTTACTACAGCCAGCAACATAGACAGGTGGCCCATCTTCAGCTCGCCCTCCCTCTGCGGCTCCACCACTGAGAAGCAGTACACATCTCCTGATTTGTCAGCCACAAGCAGCTTGTCCTCAGCCTGGGTGAAGTGCAGGGAGGTGCACCTCCTCACCACCCACCTGTTTAACACACACACACACACACACACACACACACACACACACACACCCACACCCCTGTCATTGCATTCACCTTGCATCAATATCTGTCCAATACATGAGTTTAAGTTACCTGATGCTGATACACTGCCATGAAGGCTCACAGTGAAACAGGACCAGCCTCTTGTTGTCATCAGTCAGCGCCACCAGCTTTCCAGATGGAGACACGGTAAAGGCAAGGATTTTATCACTTCCTGTTTCCTCCGAGGTACTGCCATCACTGACAACCGAGGAGACAAGCTACAGCTGTTAAAATTTCAATTTGTATTCATATCACAAATATACTCTTAATATTTCCATGTTTCAGATCTGTTCTCATCCTATTTTAGAGAGAATAAACTGGGGATTTCGCTAAACTTTTTTTTTTTTTTTTTTTTTTTAAACCTTTCCTTTTTGTACAGGTCATTCCGTCAGAAATCCCCTCACCCCTTTTTAACTCCCGACCTACCTAAAGACACATCATCTTCAGAAATAAATGAAACAGTATGGTGCTGATTATTGGAAGGCTTACAAACAAGGTATCCACGAAGTATAAGTATGCAACAAATTTTTTTAATAAGTTGCAGGATAGACACTTCTTTACAGCTCCTGAAGAAGTCATGTTGAGCCTGCTATTGGTTAAGAGACAGCACTTTCATTCACCTCAAATATTACTTCAGTTTTCCAAAACTGAAAATTAAAATGAAATTACATAAGGAGGCCGACGTTTATTTTTACCTGTTGTCATCCTTCACATTCTTTGGCTTCTTCTCAGCAGCACTGCAGTCAAACACGAATGGTTCTCTGCAATAAAGTACATAATGTTTTCAGTTTGGAGGAGTTCCTGCACGTTGCTGCATGACTTTAAAATGACTTTCTATTTTTAACCATCCACCTAGCATGAGCTCAGTTATTCATTTCTTTTCATGTCACTTCAATGACATTAGCACTGTCGCCTCACAGCAAGAAGATTGTGGGTTCAAACCCCGGTTGCCTTTTTGTGTGGAGTTTGCATGTTCACCCCGTGTCTGCGTGGGTTCTCTCCGGGTGCTCCGGCTTCCTCCCACCATCCAAAGACATGCAGGCTAGGTTAATTGGTGACCCTAAATTGCCCTTAGGTGTGAGCGTGAGTGGTTGTTTGTCTATGTGTGGCCCTGCGATGGACTGGCGACCTGTCCAGGGTGTACCCCGCCTTTCGCCCGATGTCAGTTGGGATTGGCTCCACACCACTCGGTGTGGTGAGACTGGGCAGTTTTCCGCCCAGCTGCGAAACTTTTTATTTAATTGGACAGGCAAAAATTGTTTTAGGCGGGCTGTGATCATTTGGGCAACTTCCACCTACAAGAATCTTTATTCTTATTATCGTTATCTATGAAAACTGGATGAATTCCAGGCTCTGAAGGGGCAACTTTTTGTTACTCAACTCTGGCAACATTGATTGTATTGGCCTAATCATGGTAATATTGTGATTCAATTTGCCATCAATTTCTTTTCTCTCAGTTAGCCGAGACGATCAGTCAGTGGATCCATTAGCCAACAAAACAAAATTGATCAGCAACAGTTTTGATATTTTGAAGTCATTTATTGAGCGAAAGTGTGAAAAATTCTATGGTTCCAGCTTCTCAAATGCAAGGATTTGATGCGTTCCTTAGTTTTATATTAAAGTGGGGCTGGACAATTAATTGAAAAGTAATAAAAACCAAAATTCAGAGCCTTTAACGAACGTCAGTTTACCATGTTGGTTATTTCGGTTATTTTATCTTATTAATATTTTCCCTTTAAAAACATACTATCGCTGTTGACTTTACTAGTAGTAGTATATTATAAGTAGAGTTGCTCCGATTCCGATACCAGTATCAAAAATGCCTCCAATACTGCTGAAAATGCTGGCATCGGTATCGGCGAGTACTGGAGTCCAGGCACCGATCCGATACCACGGAATTTATTAGAAATAGGAATCTATTTACTGGTTAGCTCCGTGAACTCTGACACAGTTCTTCTTCGCTGCTCTTAAAACAGTAATGTGTAAATCCCACAACACGGGGCGCAGTGTCAAAGACGCACTTTTTGTAGTCCATCTTATGAACATTGTAATTTCATCACGGCAGGTCACGTCAGTAACATCCGTCGTCGCATAATTATGTCGCCTTGAAAAGAGCAGTCGGATTCTCTGGGCCCCGCTGTCCTCTTTTCCTGTCCTCTTTTTTAGGAAAGGAGATTTTTTTTGACTTTTCGCAGCCTTCGTGTCTTTGACTGAAAAGGGTAAATCAATTATCAAAACAGGTGCAAATCAATTGACCGACCAATCTTTTCAGCAGTCAATCAGACAATTCACAATTTAAGCCATGTCCATTTACCAAATTTCAGCAGTTCCCAGACTTTTTAGGCAACGCACTCCCCTTCTACATCTTGACTGGGCTGATGCACCCCCAGCCACATAGCCTTTTTATAGCCACATCAAAAGGCATGAAGTTTAAGCATTCACAAATCAGAACACATTTAACAAATCATTCAAGAGATCGCAACAATGCACTCTCACATTTGAATTAAACTGAAACTACACTGCAACAAAGTTACACACTTTTCAAGAGCAAAGAGGATGGGTGAGAGTGAGCAGGGTTCAAGTTATGTGGGAGCCAATGGGATAGGGCCGTACATATCGATTATTTTTCAAGTCGATTAATCTAACGACTAATTTTGTTTATTCTAAAGAATGAAAAGTTGCCTATTACTCGATTAACATACCAATTTATCCAAAATAAATATCAAAAACATGTCTAATCAATAAATCTATATCTGTCAATCATCCAGATGAAGCACATTAGAATAAAGACAGCAGCAAATCTTAAAATGAATCAAATTTCCTCTTCACTGATGTGTTGTGATAATAACAATTAATTGACATTAATTAGGCTACTTTACTTAAAACTCTAAATGTTTCTGACATGGATTCATTTCAATATTGAGTAATGCAGCATGATAATAAAAAGTATTTCTGCATCAGTGAACACCTGAAAGGACTCTCAGACTGTACAGACTGTCACAGATTGTCTGTAATTAGATTCAGCTGTTTTCTCGCTCATACGTGGCCGTTAAAGAAACAGAAGATATGAAACAGCCGATCGTTACATGACTCGCTGTGTCCCGTAACGTTACCATGACAGCAGGTAGCATGTAGCTGCAGTACCGGAGGCTGCAGTTTCAGGACCGGAACAGCAATTCCAGGACCCGTGTTTACTTTGATACTGCCAGCTAGCTGACTGGCTAGCTATGTTACTCTTTACAGCCCCCCGAAGCCAGTTACCCTCACCACAACCACCACCGAGTGTGTGCCTAAACCGAAGTTATTGATTATGTGCATGTCGACCGGTTGACCCTGTCTGCTAGCACCATGTGCGCAGCTGTGCAATAACCCAGTAACTCTGTCTTTAATCAGCCACATGTTTACTACCATCATTCTCTATTTCAGAGCTGTTCATATTGTCATATTGTATATACTGTATACCAAATCCACCTACCTCAAGTCATTACTCCTGCTCAAAATACTTGTACTTATTTATTCCAGCATGCTTTGCACTGTGCTTGATTGCACTGTGTACATGTATGCATGTATATGTACCTGTATATCACACCCACCTCCGACATGTACATACTCCTGCATCCTTTGCATTCTGCTCACTGCACTATTTGTCATTATGTCTATATTGTTTGTGTTCATAGTGTGTATATTCGTGTTGTCTATTCTGAAGTCTGATTTTATTTTATTATTGTGATATTGTATTTTTGTACGAGTAAGCACATCATGAGCAATGTACAATCCTGAGTCAAATTCCTTGAATGTGTACACATACCTGGCAATAAAGCTGATACTGATTACAAGAAATCGTTCTTGTAACTTAACGATCCTGAAGTCTAGTCCCGGTACTTTTGCACGCGGTGGGTATCAGAAGTGACGATACTCTTTCTACCTCTTAACTAAGACTGCACCAAACATGTGATGATGTAAAGACGAGAGAGCCACAGCATCACCAAATAAATGTGACATTTCCCCACGCGCGCGTCCCCACTTGGCAAACCCTGTGGTGGATGGCCAAAGACTAGCTAGCTACACCGCTAGCCCGCGGATACAACCTTACCTGCTCTACACAATTCATAAACTACAAGGGAAACGTTTCAAGTGATTCAAACCTTGCCTGTTTGCTGTCAACTGCTATGAGTTTCTTGTCGCAGGTGAAAATACACCACTCTCCACTGAAGCCGACAGCAGCCATGACTGTTGTGTGTCTTTCATGCGACGCTAACCCACGAGGAAAGGGAGAAGGGTCTATCCGCCTGCAGCCTCACAGTTTACACCACACGCCCACTTTCTTCTTCTTCTTTGAGGTTTGATGGCGGTTGGCATCCAACTTGTTGCATTACCGCCACCTACTGTATAAAATACTTTCCCCAGTGCAAACAACTTACAGAGACCACCCAAAGGATTCCCGTTCAATACATTGTCAGTTTTATGACTCAGACTTAATTGTCTGAGTTGATGTAAACCCTTCCCTCAGTGTAATGTCTATTTCTTCTCCTGTTATGTCCACAATGTCCAAGAATCTGCTTGCAGGATCCAACACCATCTTAATCCTTTCTGACTTGCTCTTTATTTCAATGGCACAATTTACCGCAATGGCAATAAATACCAGAAATCGCTTCTTGTCCATGCAGACCACATTCTGATCCTCTACATACCTTATTTGCTCCTGTTTCTTTTCCACTTGTTCCTCCTTTCTTTCCATTATCTTGGTAGCTTTGGCATACAACAGACCCACTTCCACTTAAATTTGACTCACTTTAATTTCTTTTATTCGTCTCAGACATTGTGCTGCAGGGTCATGATGATTTCGTGCACATTGTAGGCACTTTCCTTGCTCCTGCTCTTCTTCACACTCCTCTCTTTTACAGCTGTTCATCCCGCACCTCCCACATCTTCTTACTCTTCTACATACTGCAGGAACATGTTATATATTCCTGACAGCAGAAGCACCTACGTAGACCTCTTTCATACGGCCACATACGGATTTCCTACTTGTGAGCGCTGAGAAAAATGTACCCCAACTTCGAGAGTAGCAGCTGAATTATATCATACAACAATGTCAGCGCCCATGGAAGCACACATTATAAATGGGAAACCATAACCTAAAAGGCAACAAAAAGTATATTTGCATGTATTTCAATTAAAACACATACGATCATATAGTAAAACCTGTTCTGCATGTAAATTGATGTAAAAATTTGTTAGCTGGTGACAATAAAGAATCTTCTCTGTACAGAAGTTATTGTTAAAAATGCCAAAACATTAGGAAATATAACCTACAACACTGACTGACTCTTGATGATTACCAACTGATGTATTTAGACAGGTACACAGTTACTTAGTAACATGGCTATTTATGTCAGTTGTTAGCATTTAAAAGGCCATCCTTTTATTTAAAATTAACACCAATGGCACTGCTGAGGGTGCAACAGTGTTTACACTTTGTTATGGTCAGCCATGTTTTTCATTCACTTTCAGCAGCAACACCATGCACCTGGAACACTTTTAGGTTGGATTTACTATGTTTGGTGCCTTTACTTCTTAACTTTATGTTGGTTTGTAATTATGATCGACAAAGTACCTGTAAAGCTCTCTGCTTTTCACCGGTAGGCCTTCTTGTCATTGGCCCTAATTTATAAACATAATTTCTCTCGGCACAGATATTATATCTGGTATCATGGTGACTATCTAGTAGGTAAGGTCTGCTTCTACATGTAACAACAGAGCTATTCGTATAGTGAAGATATAGTGTCTATTCCATACGTCAGTTTTTACCGGTTTCAGCTCATTCATAGATTCTACCCCATTAAGTATTACATGAAGAGGTTTCAAAATGACATTGATCCTAACTGTACCTTCTGTGAGACTCATACAGAAACAATATTACATTTGTTTTGGCACTGTACTTTTGTAAAACAATTTTGGCAGGATGTATCTACATTTATTAATGATTATATATATCAAGGTTTCAGTTTATTCTGGCAGAATTTCCTTTTAGCAATGAAAAGCAATACGGCAACCTTTTATAATAAATTTTATATTGTTTATAGCAAAACTTTCATATACACAAATGCAAAAAAAAAATTATTTTTTGTCTTTGAGAAAGAAATTGAACTATTCGTTTCTCTTCTAACAAAAAGGCTCTGAAGATACTGATACATAATATCTGTAAGTCTTTCTGTGCTATTCTTTTTATGATATTATTTAATGTTTGTAGTTGTAGTCCCACTAACTATATGTACCTCTGTATATCTTATGTGTTGCATGTATCCTTTGCAATATTGCCTTTATATGTTGCCTTGTTAATACTTTTCTACTAAGAAAGTGGGAAAAAAGCTCGCAGAGGCATGGCGGAGAGCTGGAGATTTCGTCGCGCGCAAATTACGTCACTGACACGCCCCCTCGAGAAAGAACACAATGTACTGGATGCATAACAGACAACTAACGTTCCTCCTGATATACATACGTGTAGCTTTCTAAACATTAATGTAAAATGAATGTTTTCAAATCTACAGCCGCGTTCCTGACGCTTATTTCAGTTTAATTTCTAAAGCGCCGCCGCCAAAATAACAGCAGTTATCTCATTGCACTTTTCATACAGAGCAGGTCTAAGTTATACCCTAACGTTACTCTTTGTAATAATGTTTACAGAGATCCAACAATGCTCACCACGAGTAAGCACGTAAATCTATCAAATGTACAAACAGTTGGAAATATGAGTCAGTGAGCGCTGAGCAGACCTCCGCAGATATTTACTACAGTCTTAACACATTCATAGTAACCGCACATCTATGTTCAGCATCTAAAAGCAGAATGTTAACAAATATAAGCTCCACAGACTTTAACAAACACACAAATGCACAAAGGACAATACATGCAGGCTTTGGTCGAGAAGGGGCGGTGACTGTCGCGAGCAAGTGTTGTATAAAAGGTGTTGAAAGCAGAGTCAGTGTGAGTGTCCATGCTGCTGGGAGCCGCTTCACTGACCACCGAAACACAACAGGCTCATTTATTAAAGGTAACAGCCAGGATCCACGTTTATTTAACACATACCCTGCATGCTTCTTTTTGTCCGCTGGGACAATGTTAGAATAAACCAGCTGATATTTTATAGCGGTTCTGTTTTCTTGCACGAAAAAAAGTACAGGTTGGAGATATTTGGACGTTGTTGTTGTTATTGCATTGATTTATCGTGTATTTATTGATGCACACTACAGTTACCGAAATATGGCGGCTTCCCTGCTGAGGATAGGACGACTGGGCTGTGTCAAGGTAATGTATACTTTATTTTCGTGCTGTATTGGAAATGCCGTCAATAAATTGGTTTGGACTGTGCTGTCAGTTGTTTGTCCTTTTGAATTGACCCAGAAAAACGTTATTCAGTCTCTGAAGATAGCAATAAGCTCAGCTTCATGCTATTTAAATGAAAGCAAATGTAAACATGAATTAACTTTCTGAATTGCGACGCTTGAAACACAAACTTGAAGCTGTTCTTGCAGGATGTTGGTTAATGTTAGCAGAGTCCTGTCTCAGTAGAACAGGCTTAAACCAGACACAGGCCTGGCAGCTGAAGCTCCTACTGAACTGCTGAGGAATTTGACTTTCTGAGTACAGGTGGTGTTAACATGGAAGTTGTGGTTCATCGTGATATGAAGCATATATAACCATGGGCATGTTTGTGCAAGGCTACAGAGCCTCCACCAGTATCAGTCAGTAATTACACTGTACATGCACAACAATGTTACTGGACATGTTTACTTGGAAGAGTCTCTTTTGTGTTATGACTGAATTTAAACCATCAGTGTAAACCATAGGCCTACTGTGCAGTCAGACATTGTTCAGACCCACAGAACATTATTTTAAATTCTCCACAAGTTTCAAAATAATGATGCAGCCACAAAAACATAGTTCTGATTTTTTTTCACTCCGTATCAACATTTATACTGTAGTGCTGAAGATGATGTATACATTGATAACGTAAGATGGTGTAGAATAAATAAAATATTTTTTCAGTGGAAGAAAATAAAAAAGGATAAAATATATACAAGTTGGGCAATGTGTAAAGACTAAATATGAGAGCAGTATTGTTCCTGAATTGGTAGAGAATTCCATAATTTTTCCCCTTTTACTGAAAAAGAAGCCTGGGCAAATGATGTTTTTCGAAAAGGGATACTACAATTGCCTTTTGACGCTGATCGGGTGATGGATCTGGTACTTTGCTGTCTTGTTGTTTTGCAAAGTGGTGGTGGAGCAGTGTCATTTTAAACTGTATGAGAGAGTGTTAGAACCTGCTTTGATTAACCTCAGTGTTGACCCTGTAGGACTCCCACCCCACCTAAAGACACATCATCTTCAGAAATAAACGTAACAGTATGATGCTGATTATCGGAAAGCTTAAACAAGGTGTCCACGATTTCACTACTTCTGGTCCAAATTAAAAAGAATGCAAATTAGGTGATTTTTCTCAAAATCTCTTTCCTTTTTCAATATGTTGCAGGATAGATACTACTTTACAGCTCCTGAAGAAGTCCTGTTGAGCCTGCTATTGGTTAAGAAACAGCACTTTTGTTTCACCTAAAATATTACTTCAGTTTTTCCATTTGCTTATCATCCCATGGCTGAAAATTAAAATGAAATTAAGGAAGCCCAAGTCAGCAAAAATGTGTCACCAGTTAACTGGGGGTAGTTGTCAGCTGGGCCAGATGCCCGCAAGTCCTCTCGCATATTTGTACATTTCTTTCAATGCAACACAAGTACCGATAATCCTATCCTAGGCAACATAGGCGGTGGACATAGTTATTATGCTCTTGGCAGAAGTCTGCACTCTGATAACATACTGTCTGATGGCTGAATTGTATTCTCTCATTTATTAAGGACAACGATTTGTATTTCAATAATCAATAGAAAATATTTCTGTCATGATCGGGATGTCTTGGGAAAGTAAATTATGAAGAAGGCAAGAAGTTCATTTGTACCTGAAATTGCTTCAGATCACCAGACACCCCCATACTGAGCCACCAGTCTCTGGCATACTGAACTGCAACATAACCTTTAATTTCTTCAAAGGTCAGGACAGGTCTAGTGCACAGTCCACCTCGAACAGCAAAAAAGTGTTTATCATAAGCTCATTATTTTCAAGACAACTTCTGAGGAACTCTCATGAGGTTATTTACAGAGGGAGTATTATTGATAAAATACATGATGGAATTTGAACAGAGATCAAGCACTGGGGGGCTTCATTTGCTTAGCAGCAGTTTAAGATAGCTTTGTGTCGTCTTGAACAAAATCAGAAAAGTCAGTGGGGCTGGCCCCAATACATTTTTCATTTATTTTTATTTTTTGTGAAGCTGCGCTAGTAACAACAGTGAATATTCAAAGCTATGGGGGTGGGGCTTAACATTCACACCACACCTATGATTGATAGATGGATCAGAGCAGTTAGATCAAAAATGAATATTTGTTGAAAGGATTTGATAATGAGCCGGGGAAGAGCGAGGTAGAGTGGAAGACTAGATGCTGCAGATTCGGTTTGGTGGCTGGTGTGCAGAGCAGGGGCAACTATAGCTGAGAGACCAGAGTGCGGGAGGCAGAGTAGGTCCGGAGCAGAATACAGGATTAGTTTAGCAGAGCGGGGTCCAGGTAGAGCTGACGGGATGAGTGCTATTTTTAGTAGTGGGACTACTACTAATAATAATAATGAGATAGCGGCAACGATTTCATTCATTCACTGTTGCGTCTCGATGGGAAAAACTTTCCAGTTCTGCAGGTCAGTGATATTGAGCAAGCTGCATAAAGGACAAGCAACTGGCCCGTTATGAACATGCCCATTTTGAACGGGCTTAAGTTACTGCTCTTTAAGTGTGTGTGTGTGTGTGTGTGTGTGTGCGTTACAGGCTGACAGCTGGAGGACTTTCAGTAAAGCACCTGCAGCTGTATCCCTTAGCACAAAATCTGGGGGTTCCAAGAAGTCGTCAAAAAAGAACAACTCAGGTAGGTTTCAGAGTGCTACTGTCACAACATGTGGCTGAGCCTGTGTCAGCTCTTGAAGCTTGCGCTGATCCAACTATAAAACTGTACAAATGCCATTGATCTGGTCGGGGAAGAAATCTGTCAGGCTTTAATGTAGTTGAAAATTGTAGTTGGAAGTTATTTAACACAACAGTACTCTTTAACATCACTGTTAATTGCTAATGTAACATTACTGTAAGTTTTTGCCCGATTTTGTGTTTGTTTTGGAAGAATTGACTTAACTTTGTAATGGCCAACGGTATAAATATAAAAGTAGTGCTCTAGTGCAACAATTTAGCGGGTACTTATCTGCTCCCTACGGGCAATTAAGACATGATGTTGTCTACAGAAGACACTGTAATGAGATCAGTCGTTTGTCTCCTGTCTACAGCACTGCTCCATTGTGGACTGTGTCCCTGAGCAAGACACTTAACCCCTAGTTGCTCCAGAGGTGTGCAACTAGGGGTAACGTCTGGAGCAACTAGGGGTTAAGTGTCTCTGGACATATATAGCAATTGTAAGTCGCTTTGGATAAAAGCGTCAGCTAAGTGATTAAATGTAATGTTGCAATGTGGCTACATTTAGCAGCAGCTGGCATCTAAAGTAACTGCTAATAACATGTAAAGTTATCTGTCCATCAGGAAATAGTGTAAATCAAAGAGTTGAAAACATTTCCCTTTCCTTCATAAGTGTAAAATCACTTTCTACAAGACAGAATAAACAACATCCACCTCTAGCTTGAAGGAAGGACTACTGTGGAAGGACTACTGTGTTGTGTTGGATGGTGGGGCTGAGAGCGGTTTATTCAGTATGTGTTCAGTGGGCGGGGCTGTCTATAGCATCATGACGGGAGACAAATTTAAACAGTGTGTTTGTACACACATTTACTGAAAGACTGAGCAGGAGGAACAGAGAGCATGGTTTTTGTCATAGTTTGAGGGGTCGACACACCGGGGATAAAAATTTCTGTTAAAGACATGAAAAATACTCATTTCCATTCAGTCACATGAGGCTGATAATTACTTAGTGTGGCCTTGATGCGTTACATCATTTTTGTTTCCCCTGAAACATTTGTTTAATAAATCATTTCCAGTGTTCAAAAGACACCATGATTGTATTATGGGTTATTCAAAATATCAATAAAGAAAACATGCCGCTCTGCAGCGATATCTGTGAGCCTTTATTAGTATCAACACAGTGCACAAACATACACAAAACTCAATCGGAGTAAAGGACCCATTTCTCTCCTTGTTTCTTCTCTCCTTGCATGTTTCTTTGCCCCTCGATCCTCAGTGGGAGGGACTAAAGCTGCATTTTCACCAAAAGTACTTTTAGTCCCAGGATCTACCTTTCAAGGAACTAAAAGGTTCCTTCAGCCCATTGTTGTGCATTTTCTGACCTTCGAAGATTAGACAATTTAACTAGCTGACGTATGTTATTACTCTGATGTACACCATACAAAGCGAAGGACATGGATCATTGTTTAGTAATCCCTATCGGTGAGCAAAATGTGTGTGTATATATGAACATAAGATCTGTTTGGAATATAATGGAAAAACAAAATGCTTGACCACTAAAAATAGCTTATTTGGTGTGTGGGGAGACGCACGATTAAAGTTAGTCATAAATTTAACTAGAACTGCAAGCAGTTGTAAGCGGGGTCCAAGCCCCCCTGGCCCCACGGAGGGCGCACGAGTCGACACGGCGCTCCTCCACGGCTTGGGGGCCCGTGGACAATAAACGGCCAGACTTTGAAATGAAAGGGACTTGCGGTTATGGAGATGTAAAATGAATGGATGTCTATGGGAGCGTTATTTGATATGCAGATAATCACGCCATCTAGAGGCCGACTGACACCAAATTTTGCACAGCTTCTCAGGGGTATACCACATAAGGTCGTCAAGTTTGGTGTTGATCGGCCATTCCAAACCAAAGATATGACATCACTTCCTTTTTTTTTTTTTTAGCTATTTGCGCTAATGTTTGTTAGCTTATAATTGGAACAGTTTTTCACATATCGATCTGGGGAGCCTGTATCACCAGAGATCCAGAGATGGTCCGTGCCAAGTTTGGTGTCGATCGGACTGGCAGCTTCGGAGAAGTTAATAAAAATAGGTTTTCACGATTTTGCAGGGAAAAAAATTATAGGTGGAAATGGGCGTGGCCTATACAACGAGATTCAGCAGGATCTCCCGAACGCATGGATATCAGATTTTGATATCCGCCTTCGTGAGCGGGAGTTTCAAGACCAAACGCATTGACCTTGCTTATAGCGCCCCCTAGTGGTAGAAGTGTGCAAATTTTATTTGAGTTACGTGTAGTGAACTGGACCTACCCTATGAGTTTTGCATCCCTAGCAGTTACCGTCTAGGCCGCAGTATCAGTTTTATGCACAGAAGAAAAAATAGTATATTAAAAAAATTAATATAAATCTGAGCGAAAACAATAGGGTTCCCAGCTCCACTGGTACTGGGAACCGCGATGCCTTGCATTCGCATAATAACAAACTGGATAAAGCCAACAAGTTCATTAAAGAACTCCTTTACAGAGAAAGAAACATCATTTTCTGTCATTAAAACATTATTAACTAAAAGCTGAACTCCATCAGCTGTTATCTGTAAACACACAGCAGGACTATCTGCACACTGGCTGCTGTTTCCTAGCTGTAAATATAATGTACAATCTCAATCAGACATCAGCGAGAATTGTGTGCTATATTCAATTAAATTTTATTTATATAGCGCCAAATCACAACAACAGTTATCTCACAGCGCTTTTCATAAAAGAGCAGGTCTAGGGAGAGGGAGGGGGAGAGAGAGCAAGAGCGAAAATTTGGTGCCACTTGTGCTTCTGGTCTGCTCTGGCTATTTTACAATCAAATATTCCTTCAAACAGCAAAAACAGCTAAAGGATAAATTTACCCCAACAGTCACCCTGCTTTGTTTATTCACCTTAAATTGTAAATGTTTACACACATAAATCTGATGCTCATGTAAATAACTGCCATGTAAACATAGTCTATTATTTATTTATATCTTAATTAGGTTTATGTTTGTTATGCACCACCAGAGCAAATTCCTTGTGTAAGCTTTACTTACATATACAGCTCTACTTGGCAGTAAAGCTGATTCTGATTAAAACACAAACATGTCAGTATTTTAGAGGTAGTCTTCTACCTCTTTTTTTTTGTTTTTTTTTTAATGAGAAATTACACTTTCTGTCATAACATTGTCCCTTAAAAGATTTTTTATCACATTTCCGTTCCATTGTATTGTTAGGAAACTTCACCTGTCAGTCTTAATATGATGAGCAAAATCCAAAATCATGCCAACCACTAGATTGCTCCTGTTTGCTAGCGTCACATCTATAAAAGAAATAGGGTGCTGAAAGCATGTAGAGAAAACTGGACCCATCATTCCTTTTACAGACACAGGATGGGAAAGTGTATTCATTCAGTGTTTTTTCGGAAAGGGCCATCGATGGCATTGTCTTTCGATGTTGTTGTCTCTGAAATGTTGGACTTGTTTTGGGTAAACTAGGCTACTGACTTTGATCCGTTAAACCAATAGTATTTAATCTGGCAGGCCAACGTTGCAGGTGGTTTGCAGGCAACAAACTGGGACTAACCGTGCAGGTAGATGGTCTCACTTCTAGCCTTCTTAATGTATCCAAGCGTGTGCCCCAGGGGTCAGTGCTGGGACCACGCCTATTTATATTATATATCAACATTCTTGATCAAAATGTCAAAAGGTCTTGCAGCTGAAGAGGCAGTGTGAAGATATAACTTGAAAACCTAAAAGCCTCCTGCTATATCAGCTCACAGTGGCTATCCCAGGGAGTATGAAGGTGGATCTTGAACTTTGAATCTGTTGAGGAAACAAAGAATGGAAATTAGGAGTAGGTCCCAATATTTCATACATTACATTGAAAGAACCAATGTTTATTGTGTGTAAACAAACTATTACGGCACAAGAGTTCTATTTCATTCTCAGATTAGCAATATAAAACCCCAGCTGTACTCTTGCACCATTGTCCATTGAAAGAGAATTTAAAGCATTGAATGGTAGAGTTGGATATCATTAAAAATTTTACGATACCAGTACCCTAATGTGATACCGATACCAATAGACATTCGATACCTTGCATAAATGACAACTGTTGAAGCCATAGTAGTTTATTTGGTAGCCTAAAATTATTTTATTGTTGTTATGGACAAGCAAGGAGGTCTATTTCTTTTTTTTTCAAATAACTGATTTATAACATATTGGGAAATTGTATCGGATCGCTTCTCATCCTACTTGGGTCATGCTCAGACAGAACCACCTGAAGGGGGCACTTACAGCCTGTGGAAACCCTAAATGGACCTTTATGAAAACAGCCAAAAAATCCAGGAAGAAGAGCAAAACTACAGGGGATGAAGAAAAGAAGGTCAAATGCAACAACATTGTGATTCCATACGTGTCTGGAGTATCAGAGAAACTCAGGGATGTTGTGTTTGTTGAAAATCCTCCTGTGTTTTTTAAACCCAAGAACACACTAAGACAGATGCTGGTCCACCCCAAAGACCGCACACCCAAACACAAGAAAAGCAATCTGGTGTATGCGGTCCAATGCAGTGAGGAATGCACAGACCTGTATATTGGGGAGACTAAACAACCAAGTCCAGTTGGCTTGACTTTAACCTTCTTTGGATAACTATGACCTGGATGACTGAGAACCTTCACAGACGTTTAATAGATATGATGGAATAAAGTGATAGGTGACAAGTGATGAAACCAACAGAAAGCCAGGCTTGTGGTGATAAAATTGCATCAGTGACAAACATGCCTGAAACTGCAGCTGAATGTGAGCTGTTAAAATTATGCATGTACTTACAAGCAGGTGCAGTCACATAAAGGGGGGAAGGGAAAAAAAAGAGCCGTGCCCTTCTTTCTGAGTGTTACTTGCGTGTTTGGCTGCAAGCAAAACTTTACAAACAGTAATTTTTTGCTGCGATCTATTTATCAAATAGATGAAATGAAGTACTGGTTTGACTGGAGATGATACTGCTTGATACTGGACTGTTTCGGTCGATACCATAAAGTTATCGAGTAGCGATACCCATCCCTATTGACTATCTATTTGATAAATCACATCACTGTGATCCGACCCACCTGTTCCTGGAATTCACAATCATGGGGAAGACTGCTGAGCTGACAGTTGTGCAGAAAACCATCATTGACACCCTCCACAAGGAGGGAAAGCCTCAAAAGGTAACTGCAAAAGAAGTTGGATGTTCTCAAAGTGCTGTATCAAGGCACATTAATAGAAAGTTAAGTGGAAGGGAAAGGTGTGGAAGAAAAAGGTGCACAAGCAGCAGGGATGACCGTAGCCTGGAGAGGATTGTCAGGAAAAGGCCGTTCAAATGTGTGGGGGAGCTTCACAAGGAGGGACTGAGGCTGGAGTTACTGCATCAAGAGCCACCACACGCAGACGGGTCCTGGACATGGGCTTCAAATGTCGTATTCCTCTTGTCAAGCCGCTCCTGAACAACAAACAGTGTCAGAAGAAAAAAGAACTGGTCTGTTTCTCAGTGGTCCAAAGTCCTCTTTTCTGATGAGAGCTAATTTTGCATCTCATTTGGAAACCAAGGTCCCAGAGTCTGGAGGAAGAACAGAGAGGCACACACTCCAAGATGCTTGAAGTCCAGTGTGAAGTTTCCACAGTCTGTGTTGGTTTGGGGAGCCATGTCATCTGCTGGTGTTGGTCCACTGTGCTCTATTAAGTCCAGAGTCAGCGCGGCCGTCTACCAGGATATTTTAGAGCACTTTATGCTTCCTTCAGCAGATGAGCTTTATGGAGATGCTGGCTTCATTTTCCAGCAGGACTTGGCACCTGCCCACACTGCCAGAAGTACCAAAACCTGATTCAATGACCATGGGATTACTGTGCTATTTAATATCCTTAGATTTTGAATTTGGGGTTTTCATAAGCTGTATGCAATAATCATCAAAATTATATCAAATAAAGGCTTGAAATATCTCACTTTGCATGTAATGAGTCTATATAATATATTAGTTTCACATTTTAAGTTGAATTACTGAAATAAATGAACTTTAGCACGATATGCTAATTTTTCGAGTTTCACCTGTACGTCACACATCACTGACTTCTACACATTGAAACGAGCATCACTTGCAAACAAATAAAAATACAAATGAGCATGCAGCCAAAATAATAAAAGGAAAAACTACCCAATGAAAAGCGATTGTTATATTCATTAGACAAAACTAGCTAATGAGAAATGGATGCAGGCCATATTCAACCAATGCGTGCATGATGCTACCTAGCTAACGCAGTGCTAGCTAACGCTACCTTTAACGTTACACTGGTAAGGTTGCCGCAAGTTTGAACAACACATAGCTATATATTAAAACAAGTTGCTTTACAAGCATTTTCCAACAACATTAATACTTACCCTCACGCCGTTCATTACATACAGTCCACAGCCGAGCGGCACTGCTTCCATGCCGTTTTTTGTTGTGTGAACAGCGGTGCTCAATGCAGCCAAACCTGATTGGTTAATGACATCGCTCTGTCAGCATCTTAGCGTACTATTTGTTCGTCTGCTATAGTAGGCTGCTGTGTTTTCCGGTAAATTTAACAAACATTAAAGTATGATTTGGGGAATTGTGCGAGAATTTTGAGTGGCAACAAACTGAATTGGATTAAGAATAAAACAATCTTCACCACTTTAAAAATTTGGGTCCTCCCTTGATTGGGATCATTATTTTCTAAAACCAAAGCAGCTAACCCGGCCTCGGCCCACCGCCTATGTACACGCACAGGTTGTTCAAGGCACTACTCTTTGAGTTTCTAAAAAACACAAAAACCCTGTTTTTCTACATTTGTTTGGGGCTGAACCAGATACAGTGTCGAAGGCAGGATTCCGTTCATTCCTATGAAACCTGTTTATAAAGCTAAAAAAGTTCAACTTCGAGTGACCCAGGTATATAGCCCCTTCTTTCACAATAGCTGCATTTCCACCAAGTACCCAGGAATTTTGTTCCAGGATCTACTTTTCAAAGAACTAAAAGGTTCATTGTTGTGTTTTTCTGCCGCTCTAAAGACCTGCGAAGATTTGGCAAATTGACCAGCTGACGTATACGCCATACAAAGCGATGGACAGGCATCATTATTTAGCAACCACAATCGATGAGCAAATGTGTATATATGAACATTTTATTGGAATATAATGAAAAATTATAGGCTAGGCTTGACCATTAAAAGCAGCTTTTTTTGTGTATGGGTATAATGAAGAGACTAGAGCTGACCCCAAATAGTTGAAGATTCGGTACTTTGATGGGCGGAGCCTGAATCGACTGTAAGTCTCATAGTCGAAGCTTCACAGCAAAACGCGGATCATGCCATTTAGGCAATAAAGGGGTGCTCTACGTCTGATTTTACCAGGAACTACCAGTTTTCCCCCAATAACTTAATATACAGCCTATTACAATATACATTTCCACATATAATGCTGTAAATAAGAGTGTGAAATCAAAGAAGCTTTTAATAATAAGTGTGTGAATAAATCCATAATTGTAACCCTTAAGGAGGAGGGGTCAGTGCGCATGTGTGAGCGTAGCATGTATGTGTGTAGTGGCAGAAGAGGAACACTTGATGAAGAGACGGAGCCTCAGCTTCGCCAGTGTTGCGCCGAGTTGTCCGCACCTTGCGGGATGTTTGGATCATTTATCACCATTGATGAACCACACAAAGAATATTATATTGTTATTAAACAGTAGCCTACTTGAAATAGACCCGCGAGGAAACACGATGTGCACGTGGCGGTCGGCCGCACAGCACGCACGCACGCAAAACTCACTGCACAAGACTGGTGAATGGCAGGCGAGCAGAGAGAAAAGGTTCAACAATAATGGGCCTTTCAGACAGACTGCAATGACCGCACTGCTGCGAAACCCATTATTTTCAATGGCTTGCGCCGCGCCATGGCAGTTTGTTGCTGCGTCAAGCAAAGCGCAAGCGCAGCACAGTGCACTGCTTGGCGACCTCGCACCCTGCAGTCAAAGTTCAAAATAGTTGAACAAACTGGATAAAGCCATCACGTTCTTAAAAGAACTCCAGTACAGAAAAAGAAAGAAACAAAATCGCAGCAGTTTGGAAAGTCATTAAACATTTCCAGCTGACGAGCTGCAGATCAGCTGGTAGCACTCACGTCTCAGGCTGACATCGGCGAGACTTGTTTGCTATCTGACTATTGATTTTGATTTATTGGTTTGCAAACAATGATGAAAAAGAGAGGAGCAACCAGTAGCCTCTACTCCCCCATTCAGAAATTCACTGCAAGGCAAGCACCCCTCCCCCAAAGTACTGGTACTTTCGTAAAGTACTAGCCCCTCAAGCAGGGTCAATTTTGGGGTAAAATAAAGACCCTGGAACTAAATTTAGACCCTGGTCCCTGCGGTGGAAACGCAGTTCGTTCCTCCAAAGGTTCCTAGTTGTGGGGTATAGTTCCCATGGTGGAAATGCAGTTTATGTAAGTCTATGGGGGAAAGTATTTTGGGGCCAGCCTGCATCATATGACAGCCCCGGAAGTTGTAATTCCATGGAAGGGCCACTATGTCAAACTGGCTTACAGATACTTCCTAAGGGCTTGTTAACGGCGTCTCACAAGCCCCTCAACAGGCATCGGGGACAGTTTTAGAAAAAGAGACAGGAGCCTAAAACCAGACATAGGATGAGCTTAGGGGCTGTATAAAGGGCTAGTGTAAGTTAAATAAGGATTATAATAATTTTTAAAACTTTGAATTCTGCAAAGCTACATTAGAGGTATCACTAGTGTATATAGAGCTAAAAATAATGGGTCCCCTTTAAGCATTTGCAGGATTTGGCATATATGGAATATTTGTGTGAATGTGTTTTGCTTGGTGTACAGTATGCTTAGGTTTTTGAAGTGGATGACCTTGGTTAGACAGACGTTAGCAAAGGTTCACTGCACACAGGTGATTCAGAGGAAAGTCCTTAATGCTGTACATAGGTAGATCCATGTTTTATAAAGTAATGATTGCACCACATTAATCGTTCCTTTCACAGGATTTTAAAGACTATTTCACTGACTTACTGCTGACAGCTGACCAGTGTTACTGTGTTTTAGGTCTTTTTGATTATATTAGATTCCATTTATCTCAGTATAAAACTGTTATGGTCAAGGTTACTGTTGTTCTTTTCTCTTTGTTTTCTTGAAGCTTTTCTATAATACATTTGCTTGTTTTCCTAACTCATAGGCTTGTAATGTTTTTCAGAATTTTCAGATACCTTTTGGATTTCATATTTGACATTTTGTTATTCAATCATACACAAATGTTTTAAAATAATGTATTTTGTCTGCTTGCCTTCCTCCTTCATCCTAGACAAAGGCAAGGCTAAAACATACTTCGATATAGAGAAACTTGTCCAGCACAAGTCATATGAGTTTCCCAAGAATGAAGTTTCTCCAGCGGCAGCAACCGCTGCAGCCGCAGAAGCTACAGCAGCTGCAGAGCTCAGACCCTCTGCTGCTGCACCTGAGGCAGTGGCAACCACCCCTGTGGTAGACACCACTCCCATTACTGAAGTTATCCCCAAACCTGTCTCAGCAGCTGAAGCTACACCCATTTTTGAAGCACCTCCCGCTGTCGAAGGAGTCTCTGAATCTGCCCCTGCATCTGTAGTTGAAGCTGGCGCTGAAGCAATACCAATGGTTGAGCTTGTTGCAGAAGGGGTTGCTGAAGTTGTACCAGTGGTTGATGCCAATGCTGAAACTTCAGCATGTATAGCTGAAGCCGCTGTCTCTGCAGCTGAAACGGCAGCCCCAGTTATTAAAGCTCCTGCAGCTGCAGCTCCTGCTTTTGAAACTGCTCCAACTCCTAATGCTGCTCCAGCAAAACCTCCTGTTGAAGCAGCCCCTGAAGCAACAGGTGCTGAAGTTCCTGTAGAAGCTGCACCTGAAGCCCCTGCTACAGAAGCTGCACCACTTGTAGAAGCTGCCCCTGAAGCCCCTGCTGCAGAAGCTGCACCACTTGTAGAAGCTGCCCCTGAAGCCCCTGCTGCAGAAGCTGCACCACTTGTAGAAGCTGCCCCTGAAGCCCCTGCTGCAGAAGCTGCACCGCTTGTAGAAGCTGCCCCTGAAGCCCCTGCTGCAGAAGCTGCACCACTTGTAGAAGCTGCACCTGAAGCCCCTGCTGCAGAAGCTGCACCGCTTGTAGAAGCTGCCCCTGAAGCCCCTGCTGCAGAAGCTGCACCGCTTGTAGAAGCTGCCCCTGAAGCCCCTGCTGCAGAAGCTGCACCGCTTGTAGAAGCTGCCCCTGAAGCCCCTGCTGCAGAAGCTGCACCGCTTGTAGAAGCTGCCCCTGAAGCCCCTGCTGCAGAAGCTGCACCGCTTGTAGAAGCTGCCCCTGAAGCCCCTGCTGCAGAAGCTGCACCGCTTGTAGAAGCTGCCCCTGAAGCCCCTGCTGCAGAAGCTGCACCACTTGTAGAAGCTGCCCCTGAAGCCCCTGCTGCAGAAGCTGCACCACTTGTAGAAGCTGCCCCTGAAGCCCCTGCTGCAGAAGCTGCACCACTTGTAGAAGCTGCCCCTGCAGAAGCTGCACCACTTGTAGAAGCTGCCCCTGAAGCCCCTGCTGCAGAAGCTGCACCGCTTGTAGAAGCTGCACCTGAAGCCCCTGCTGCAGAAGCTGCACCACTTGTAGAAGCTGCCCCTGAAGCCCCTGCTGCAGAAGCTGCACCACTTGTAGAAGCTGCCCCTGAAGCCCCTGCTGCTGAAGCTGCACCACTTGTAGAAGCTGCCCCTGAAGTTGTCCCTGCTGGAGTCCCTGTAGATGCAGCCCCAGAGCCTGTGGCTGAAGTTTCTGCCCCTGTGGAGAGTGCAGAGGAGCTGGTGGACCCTGCTCCAGTCATAGCTGAAGCTGCAGGAGAGGAACTGCAGATGGAGGCCCCATCTGAACCAGTTGAACTATCTGAGGGTATACACTACAACCTCCCATTCCCCCACAATCCTTCTCTTTTTCTCTGTGGACCCTGCAGTCTACCAGCAATCATTTTAATCTCTATTTATATGAATATACAGTAGTCATTTGTGATGAGTGTAAGGATAAACTGTAAAAAATACCTGACATCACAAACACACTTTTTGTACTAACCCTCAACACGCCTTGTTCACAGTAGTCCCTTATGCATTTAAGCCCATAACCCTCAATCTTTCCTTCTCCATATCACCACCCCCCTTCCCATGGCTGGGTCATCTTTCATATGGCTATAGACAGTGATTAGTTCTTCTTTAACAGGGGGGATGGATTTTGGTTATTTTGTCCCCACCCCCCAAAACATCTACTGGCTATACATCAACTCCTTGTTTGATGTGTTTGTGCTGCTTCAGCCATCTTGTATGATGCTTATTTTAACTGCACAGCATTTTGCCTTGAGATTTTTGCCATGTGTTTTTTGACACTTTTTAAAATGTTTATTTTTTCCACATCCTACTAATGCCTGCCTGCTAACTGCACTTATGTCTTTGTTTTCTAGAATTTCTTTCCACCTTCATACCTTTAACCTCCCTCCCTTACACTTCTCACTCTTATTTGGGAGTTGCATGGAAAAGTAATATGTAATCAGTCCATCATGTTTGATACAGTTGTTGGGTGTATTTTGTTAATGGATACTGTGTGAATGTAAACTTTCCTTTTCCTTTCTTTCATTTTAAGCACATGGGGAGATTACACCCTGGTTGCTGTGCGTGGAGTCAAAGTTGAACATTATAAATTGTTTTTTTGGACTTCACTGTTAAATGTTTTGTTTGACTATGTTGTTGGCCTTGCAGCAGTTCTGTAAATGTATAGCCTAGTATGACCTATCACAGCAACTTTTTAACCTATCAACTGACCTGACCTTTCATATGTTCTTTCCTATCTTACCCCTGTAGCTGACTATTGTCTACCACTCCCAGGTCCAAACGCATGATACTGGTTAATGAATTAATAATTTTTACTTTGAAGAGAAATAATTGTTTTTTTTCCCTGTAACTCGCAGCTCAAATGGACCCCATTCAGAAGCTCTTCTTAGACTCCATACGCGAGTACTCCACAAAAAGCCAGTAAGTCTCATTGCTTCCACCCAGCGTGTTATTTCATCCCTGTTTTTTTGTTTGTTTGTTTAAAAGGGTATCTCTAAAACTCACTAGCTTAGCTGGGTTTAGGACAGATTTAGCCAATTTGGAAGTAAGAGAGGTTTAAACTGTAGCTGCGTGCTCAAATACAAGCACAGCTTCAGCTGGACAGCAGCTGAAATGTGTGATGGAAGTTACATAAGGTTCACCGTACACAGGTGATTCTGAGGAAGGTTCTTAATGCTGCACGTTAAGTATTTGGAAAACTGAAATGGAGGAAATTGTCTCACCTTCCAATTACCAGTTCTGCTGACCATAATATCACAGCTGTTGAACCTTCTGTGGAAAGAACTTACAAATATTGTGTGTTTCAGTGTTGAACTTTTGATATATAACAAAGTAAATGTTATGAGTCTCTACTTTTATGACTTTACATTAAATTGCAGTGGGAATTGGCCTGACAATACGGGTCATTAATGTAATTTATTTTTAATAAAGGCTCAGTAATTTTCCACTGTAGTTTTAAAAAAACATTCAAACAGGAAGAAGTAGTGCATTTGTTGGGACTGTTAGCAGGAGATTTATACATGTAATGTTCTCTAGTGAGTCTTTGGGGCAACAGGACAGTGTATGTGGGACTGAGCTTCTCAGCCCAGGTTATGCTTCAGGATTTTATTCTGGAAAACATGCAAAAGATGGATGGTGATGAAGTTGCCCACTCTCAAAACACCTGAAACTTGTAAACAACTCTTCCAACAACTGCACTAAAATAAATAAAGCATGATTCATGAGAATTACTAAATAAATATGACATTTGATGATTCAACAGAGAATCCCATGGCGATAAAATGCACTGAACCTGAGAGAAAATTAAATGGTACTTTACTGATAACTGATCTTTGTCCTCCTCCTCTAGGGGTACTGGGGGGCTAGTCGATGCAGGTTCAGAGTACGAAAAGGCCTTGGCAGATGAAATAGCAAAGCTTCAGAGACTATATGGTGGTGGAGACCTCACATCTTTCCCAGAGTTCAAATTCACAGGTTAGTCAACACCTGACCTACATTTTTATTTAATTTTTTCATACACAAGAGTTGTGAATGCAATTCCATTTTCGTAAACTAGATGACAACAACAACAAAATGTATTTTATTGATCAATGTTTACTTTCAGTAACCTTTCAAGATCCTTGTTTTAAATTATTGTTTGCCATGCAGCATGGCCTAAAGGCCCCTTTACAGTATGCACATTTTGGGCTGTCTGAAGCTAGAAAAACATAGTGAAACCTGGTCATCAAATTAAAACAGTCCTCGATTACACTATGAGAAACCTCCATCAACGGACAATTTGAAGATCTGGAGACCAAAGACTGCCTGAAATTTAGGAGCAAATTCTCACAATGACTGTTGCTATGACCCATGTCTAAAACCAGCCATTCAGAATATGACTTGAAATCACTCAGAACACACTGGCCAATGCCACCCAAGGTGTGACTGTGCCACAGCTTGTTTGTTTTCTTACTGCATTTTCAAAACTTGGAGCAGCGCAGATGGATAACGTGAACTGACAATGTATCTCTGCTCTCATATCTTTTTTTAAATTTACATTGTAGTGCTAAGATTCACCGTGCATTTGTCGCCCAATCTGTCATGCCTTAAATCATAGCCAATCATTGATTAATCATGACAGATTACCACCATTCTCGAACAGTATGACATGCAATCAACTTACAGAATCGTTGGTGCACAGTATAAAGGTCCCTTCAGGATAGCTATCTTGGTCTGTGTTTTAATTTTGAACAGCTCACAGCTACTGCAATTTACTACAGATAATAATTCTGGTCAGTTCTTCTTTTAAGTAATAGTCTGCCTTGTAACATCACCATCAGGCCAAAATTCCTTTGGAAACCCAGGAAATATTAGAATCTAATGGATACAGTGCCATGAAATTTACTTCATCCTCCCTGGGGGAAAATCCATTTGATTTGAATCTTGTGGTGTTATTCTAATAAGTGTGTCATTGACACTGTGAGGTCTTGTTGCCGGTTAGCTTTATCATAAATCTGAATATTCTGTGACCACAAAAAGTAGCAATAAGGACTTGAAAATGTAAAATACTAAATAATCAAACATGCACTGAGTTAATAGCTCTGCTTTGTGTTTTTTAGAGCCCAAGCTGGATGAAGTCTCCCAGAAGTGAACATCAGCACTTCGCAATTGAACTTTTCTATTGTCACCCTTTTCCTTTAGATGTGTGCGGTGTAGTGGAACATTAACAGTCTGTTTGATGTCAAAGTTGCAACAAACCCTTGCCTCTAGCTTTATATCTGAGAATAGAGCTGTTTCAGTAGCTAGATATTTTATGGGAACATAAGCTTAAGCACTTTAGATGTACATTTTTGGCAGACAAGGTGAACATTGATCCATGGCTGAGCTGTAGAGGAAATAATAAATTCCAGTCCAGATTTGTTCCTATGTGCGCCTCTTTCTGCTGCGGTCAGTGAAAGTATGACATCAACATCACAAATGACTATCATTTTATGCTGACTATCACTCTGTCTTGGCAGTCAGCATTTTATTTTCACAAACACCCATATCACATCTGAAATGTGTAATATAAAATGCTAAAAAGTATTTAGACCAGTTCTCTTTTTTCACAGTTGGTAAATTGTGTCCTTATGCTGAAATTGTTTAAATTATTTCCCCCCCTAATAACAATTACAGAATTTCCCCTTGGGGATCAATAAAGTATTTCTGATTTCTGAAATCTACACTCAGAACCCCCTAATGAAGTGAAAATCTTAAAACCTTTGTTAATGAAAACCCATATCTACAGTATCTCACAAAAGTAAGCACACCCCTCACATTTTTTCATGTAACAACACTGAAGAAATGACACAATAAATAACAGAACAGAAATAACACATCACACAGCCATTAATGTCTAAACTGATGGCAACAAAAGAGGTATACTGTAATAATATTACTTTTCTCAGTAACTAGTAGTATAACTAATTACTTTTCTAAAACAATATTATTACAATTACTAATCCAAAAACAGCTGTTCAAAAGTTGTGATTTACTTGCTTTATATATTTTTATTTATTATAAGTCAGGAGAGACTGCTTTATTTAGGTGTGAAGGGGGGTGGTAGTGAAAGCAGTGTTTCCCATAATTAGCCTATAATTTGGATAATTATGAACACTGACTGCCACATCGATTTTCTATTTTTTTTAACTAGGCATATTCAAAATCATATTTGATTGAGGCAACATATATCCATGCAGCTCGCTCTCTCTCTCAATTCAATTCAAATTAGCTTTATTGGCATGAATGTGTAACAACAATATTGCCAAAGCATAATACAAACCTCATAAGAACAATCATTAAACAAGTAATTAAAGCGTATGTGTGTTTGTTAGAAAAATTAAAATATATTTTTTATTAAAATAAATAAAACAGTAAGAGTGTGTGTGTGTGTGTGTGTGTTTTAAAGAAATAAATATATATTAAACATTAAAATAAATAGATAACGTGCACTCAACTTCTTTGGTCAACCATGAATGGAACCTGTCCTGTTGAACCGCTGTATGGTCTTGGCCACCGTGCTGCAGCTCAGGTTCAGGGTCTTGGCAATCTTCGTATAGCCTAGACCATCCTTATGTAGAGCAACCATTCTTTTTTTCAGATCCTCAGATTCTTTGCCATGAGGTGCCATGTGCAAATTTAACACACCTGCTCCCATTCACACCTGAGACCTTTTAACACAAATCACATGACACTGGGGAGGTAAAATGGCTATTTGGGCATTTTCACTTATTGATACGATATATGTACAGACACTTAACCAGCACTTACGCCTCACTCCCATTGCAGGGTATATGAAACGGTTCGCTTGGAACCTTCTTTTTGGCTTATTATTGCAAAAGTTGAACGTAGTACCAGGTACTTTTTTTGGTATGCACACCTTGTCTTTTAAACGCCCTGTGCACCTTGTTTTTTAAATGCCCGGAGCACCTAATTTCTTTGCAGGGGCACTCTGAATGAGTTGCTGAGAGTTGAAAAACTCAGAGCAGAGAAGTGCCTGATGTTATTGTTGTTTTTCCCCATCCCCACTGTCCTCTACAGTCACTGGCACAAATTTGGTAATAATTCACTGCACTAACTTGGGGAAGATTCCTGTCATTAAATGGGGAGGGGGAGTGAATGTATTCCTCTGTAATAATCATATTAATCATGTTGTGGCCTAACTGATCTGGTTTTGAGGAATAGAAGGGACGGAAACACCAGAGACCACTCACAGCCGGCCCCTAGAGAGGCTGAGTCAGGAGGAGCACCTGGATTTTGCTATGGTTTGTGGGCAAAACGCTATGTTTTCTTGAAATGTGTAATAGGCTTTGAGATAAATTTTCTCAGGTTTGATGGGTGTGTTAGAGGTGTTACCCAATTAGAAGCAACATGTATATAAACCCCAGCATATTAAAAAAGCAGTACAGTGTGCTTGCATAACACAATAGGGTGTTTAACACATGGTTTTCACCTATATAAACATTTTGGTTCAAGATAACTTGTGCAAACATAATAATAATAACTTACACAGTATATGGCTACTGTAAGGAATGATGGCTTTACCATAAAACTTACAATTAAAAGCACCCCAAGAGTCTCAATTGACCGTTCACTAAGCCACACCCTGAATATGCAGCTGGCCAATCACAGTGCAAATGTAAATGCTCTGTATTTGTATAGCACCTTTCTAGTCTTTTCGACCACTCAAAGTGCTTTTATACCATTCACACACTGAGCCTAAGTGCTCAAACAGAAACTAACATTCACACACATTCATAAACTGGTGGAACAGCCACCAGGGGCAGTTTTGGGGTAAGACACAGCAGCCACAGTGCAGAATAGGACTCTGAGGTCACTTTCATGGCTGCACTCAATTGACTCTAATGCAAAAGAAGGAGTTTTCTAGTTCTCTTTTTCCGTATTTTTCCAAGATTCCAATACTGTTCCTGGGGCACTTATAGTAGTTACAGTCGCTACCCAGAGAGGTTGAAAGGAGAAGTACGATTTATTCTCTTTCCAAAACCTAAAACAAATCCAGAAAAGTGTAGGCTGTGGATTGTTCCTAATGTAATGTTAGTTAGCTAACGCTAGCTAACTGAGTGTAACGTTATATAACCCTGCTGTTCTCCTTTTTAATGATTGTAATGGTGAAGAGAGACCTACCAAGCCTAACTAGTGTTGATCCTTAATATTGTTGTCCTCTTTCTCATTAAAACGTAAATGCTCCGTATTTGTATAGCGCCTTTCTAGTCTTTCCGACCACTCAAAGTGCTTTTACACCATTCACACACTGCGCCTAAGTGCTCAAACAGAAACTAACAGACACACACATTCGGGGGTTCAGTATCTTGCCCAAGAACACTTCGACATGCAGCCTGGGGGAGCCAGAATTCAACTGCCAACCTTCCGATTAACGGCCAACCCCCTCTACCTCCTGAGCCACAGCCGACCCAACTCATTAGCCAATAATACGGTGGTTCACTTTTTCTCTGTGATCGGTAGGCTTTACCTTCTGTCTTTATTTTTTTCAAGTCAGTTTGACAGCCTGAATACAATCTTCAAATGTATATTGCAACTGCAAAACTGTCAAACTGTCTATACAAGCTCTATCTGAGATCGTTTTTTCCAAAAATTAGACAATATTTCTCCAGGGAGTGCAGTAATAGACATGTGTGCCATGCTAAAGGTATGATAGGTCGGACAGTTTGTCGGACTTAGCAACAATAACTACGGGGGGCGTGTCTTAGCGAAAGGTTAATTAGATGCCTATACCTTTTATTGGCCAGGTGTGGCTACACAGTTTGACAAATAAATGCACGTCTCACTTAGAAGCTGGGTCTGGTTTTTTGTTTTTTGAATAAATAAAACATCTTAAAGCCCACAGGGTCACCTGCTTGGGCTAGTTCTAAGGTGCTTTGATCCTGCGTTAAAAATATAAATTACAGTATGGTTAATTCAGTATAATTCATTAAGATTTACCAGCATGGTAAACAAGAGAGACAAAACAGAAGTGGTGACTCCTGACCTTTGAAGAGGTCATAAAGTCTGAATGTTTCCATATCTTGATTATTTATATTCCTTTAGTCCATATGTGTCCTCCAATCCAATCCAATCCATTTTATTTATATAACACATTTAAAAAAACGGTTTACAAAGTGCTGAACAAGAAATAAAACATAAAAACTCATATAAAACACATAGAAACACATAAAACAACAAGACTACACAGCTCTCATGCTGGGTTAAAAGCCAGGGAATACAAGTGGGTTTTAAGACAGGATTTAAAACATTCGAGGGTCTGGGCCAATTTGACCTGTGGAGGTAGCACATTCCACAGTTTAGGGGTTGCTGCTGAAAAAGCACGGTCGCCCCTGGTTTTTAACCTGGTTTTTGGAGCGACCAGCCGAAGTTGGTCAGTAGACCTAAGTGACCGTGGGGAGGGTGTAGACTTGTAAGAGGTCTGAGATGTAGTGAGGTGCCAAACCATTCAGTGACTTAAAAACAAACAATAAGATCTTAAAATGTATTCTAAAATGGACCGGGAGCCAGTGAAGCGAGGCCAGCACCTGGTGTAATGTGTTCATGCTTGCGAGTTCCAGTTAAAAGATGAGCGGCCGAGTTTTGTACTAATTGCAAGCGTGAGAGAGAGGTTTGGTTAACACCAATGTAAAATGCATTACAGTAGTCCAGACGAGTTGAGATAAAAGCATGAATCAGATGTTCAAAGTGCTTACGAGATAAAACAGGTTTGATTTTAGATAAAAGCCTCAGGTGATAAAAACTGGATTTAACAACATTATTTATCTGTTTATCAAGTTTAAAACCATTGTCTACTTTCACACCCAGATTTGTCACTACGGGTTTCGCATATTGTTGCAGGTAGCCCAGGTCAACAGAAAGGATATCACTGGCCCGACTGGGTCCAAACACAATGACCTCAGTTTTATCTTCATTTAGATTTTAAAAGTTAGAAGCCATCCAGGCCTTAATATCTTTTCAACACTCTAGTAGAGGTACGAGGGAGTTTTCACCTCTTTTGATGGGCAGATATATTTGGGAGTCGTCTGCATAGAAGTGGTGGAGATGCCATGCTTTCTAATTACTAGTATGGCAGAATTACCAGAGTCAGTGGTTAATAAGAGGTCATTAAAAACTCTTAAAAGTGCAGTTTCAGTGCTGTGAAATGCTTTAAAACCAGATTGAAAAATCTAAAAAAGACTGCAGCTGTAAAAGTAGTCTTCTCTGAAGTTTTTGAGATAAAAGGAAGCTTGGAGATAGGTCTGTAGTTGGATAAAACCGAGGAATCCAGATTTCTTTTTCTAATCAGGGGTTCCACAACTGCTTCTTTGAAATATGTTGGAACGACACCTGCTGCTGACTCCTATTGATGATTTTTTGGACATTGG